CCTTCATTGGCCTGAATGTAGCTTATAGTCATTTCAAATAACTTCTGCTCGTTAGAAAAGGGTTATGACCTCACCATGGCCACCAATGTGCAGGAGAAGAAAGAAGGGTATCTGCCAGGAAAATGTCTTTAATTTAAATGAGCAATGGTTCCGCCCTTTTCTATTGTCATCTTAATCCCTTCCACATGGGGGGGGGTAGCTGTCATATTCCAAAGCTTGTCTTAAGCTTCTCATCTCTTGCTCAACTTGAAAAAGCTGCTCCGTAGCTGCGTGCAAGGGCCCCCATGTGACAGGTGTGGTTCACCTGCAGCTCAGCGTTCTGCCGATAGCAGTGCCTACAGACTTAAGTGTGCATGGTGCCACCTGGAAAGCGTATGAAAGCCCAGATTCTGAGGTTCCACTAAAAGAAAGTGCCAGTCTGAGAGTCAAATGGAGCTGCCATCCTGGCCATCCTATTTCACTTGTGACCCTGGCCAAAGCATGCCAGATGGGCTCCATGTAACAGTTCAGGGTTCTTACACTGATCAGAGCGAGAGTGCATGCGCATCTGCAGAAATAGCATGCCAGTTGTAAAGACAAACTGCCGAGGATAATTTTTTATCAGAACTGTTCCAAGACTGGTGCCATGGTTCAGCAGGCTAACCCTCTGCCTGCAAGAGCCAGTGTCCCACATGGATACCAGTTTGTGTCCCAGCTGCTTCACCTCTGATCAGGCTCCCTGTTTGTGGCCTGGGAAAGCAGTGGAAATTGGCCTAGGTCTTTGGGATGCTGCACCCAAGAAGCTCCTGGCTTCTGATTTCAGATTGGCTCAATTCCTGCCGTTGCAGCCATTTGAAGAGTGAACCAACAGATGGAAGGTCTTTCTGTGTCTCTTTATCAATTTTCGTTTCCAATATAGACTTTTTCCTTCCTGGATCCACACTGAAACACTGGTCCCAAAGGAAGGATTTGATGCTTTCCCTACTTGACTCCTTCATCCAAAGGAAACCGATTGTTACCTTAGCAATCACCAGAAGGAGACGTCATAAAGTCACTGCATATTTGCTCATGGACAATGAAATGCATACAAGAGTCAGACATCATAAATGTCTTTTTGACCTGAAGTGTTGTAGAGATTTGCAATGTAACAGGCCCGTCATCCCCTGCCTACATGTGAATGTCTGTAGACTTTTGTGTTTCTTTGTCCTGGGCCATAAAATGGTGATGATGACAATAGCAGTGCTTCAGTCACCTCCAAGCCTTGCTGGAAGCATTCGGTGATAGAACAAGTGAAGAACACGTGCAGAAAAACTCAGAAGGTCCCCAGTCTACACTCATTAGATGATAGCTGTGTTATCAAGAAGCTTTTACTGTGTGCAAGACCTGTGCCAAAAGCAGTTTGCAAAATGGATTTACCTAATCTTTATAAAACCCTTTGAGATACATCTATTGTAGTCCCACTTTATGGCCAAGGAAGACTTATAACCATGAACTCACCAGCTCAAAGTTATAGAAGTGGTAGAACCAAGCATTGATCTTAGTCTCTCTGATTCCAGAGCCGACACTGTCTATTATCATGTTACGGTAGCTGTGGTATGCCACATGAATGTTTCCCTTGTTCTGCTCAAAACAGAGAAATGGAAAACTGGTAGGGTGGCTGGGATGAGGAGGAGGAGATGTGAATGGTGAAATTTTAGTTAACCTCTTAGAAGAGGTGCTAGGAACATGGTAACATGTATCCCCAGCATAGATGACTTCATCTATTTTCAAGTTAGTTTATTTGAAAAGCAAGAGTGGGGCCCGGCGCCGTGGCCTAGTGGCTAAAGTCCTCGCCTTGAACGCACCAGGATCCCATATGGGCGCCGGCTCTAATCCCGGCAGCTCCACTTCCCATCCAGCTCCCTGCTTGTAGCCTGGGAAAGCAGTCGAGGATGGCCCAAAGCCTTGGGACCTGCACCTGTGTGGGAGACCTGGAAGAAGTTCCTGGATCCTGGCTTCGGATTGGTATAGCATTGCGCTCACTTGGGGAGTGAATCATCAGATGGAAGATCTTCCTCTCTGTCTCTCCTCCTCTCTGTATATCTGACTTTTCAAATAAATAAATAAATATTTTTTTAAAAAAAAGAAGAAAGAAAAGCAAGAGTGACAGAAACCCGGAGAGATGGAGATCTCCTTACTGATTCACTGATTCACTCCCCCAGATGGCAGCTGAGGCTGAGCCGTGCCAAAGCCAAGGATTTCATCTGGAGATCCAGATGAGTGTGGCGGGGGGGGGGGGGGGGGGTCGGTCCCAAGCACTCTGTCTTCCCCTACTTTCCCGGATGCATTAGCAAGGAACTAGATTGGAAGGGACTGTGTCGCAGGCCGCGGTTTAACCCACTATTTCCCTGAGCCACAGTGCTGGCCCTGAATGGGGAGCAAGCACCTTGTGAAGATATCTTCCTTGTGGAATGGCATTTGGTGGAAGGGTTAGATCTCAGGCCCCTGGCTGCCAGGGGAATTTGCCATGTGGCTGGAAATAGTTTTAAAGGCCAGGCAGACACAAAGCTTTTATTTTAATTCAACACTTCTGAGAGTCACTTGTTTTGTCTTCACCATCATTCTTTTCCTTACAAAGGGTTAACAAGCTGCCCTTTAAGATCAGAGCCAGGACTTGAGTTAAAAGGCAGAATTCCACCGCTGGGGATTCCCAGAGAGACAGTAGTCGTGCCTGTTTCCCGAGTGCATGCCCAAGTCAAGGGTCTGCCTGACCTCCACTATCGCACCCCCACCCCACGTTCCCAGGTTGCACTGACCTGCAGGAAGTCGTGGCTCTCCAGCCACTGCCTGAAACAGGAACCTGATGCCTGCCCAGTGGAATGCTTTGTTCCTGAAATCAGGACTTCTGTTCCCTGGCTGGCCCAGGGAGGGGGTGGGGCAGGCTCCTCTACCTTCTCTGTGTCACAGGTCCTGCTGTTCTCAACCCTCCCCAGCCTGGTACTCCCCATACTCAGAATCTGAAAAAAAAACAAGGCTTTGGGAGAAATTCAGCCCCTGTTTCCCTACACCTCAACTCTCCCTTTATTGGGCATCTTGAGTGTACCAAGGCATAAAGTCAATGTCTTCTCCCCTTAGGTTCTTTATCGTGTAGTCTTTGTTAAACTATTCTGTATTTTTTTTTTCAATGTCTGAGGAAAGAAACTGAGGCTTGAGGAGCTAAGTGACTTGCATGAAGTCTCCGGGCCACTGAGTGGAAGCCAGGTCTGTCTGCTGGAGGCCCGGGGCTTTCTCCTCTGCCCTCTTTTCCTTCCATCACCTTTCTTCTGTGCTTGTCAGCGGTTGGGCCACGGATGCCGCTCCGGTGCGTCTTCCTTCGCTCCTGAGTGTGGCCGACAGCATTTCTCCTCCTCTGAGGAACCTGGAGGCTCCTTGTCTGAGCATTGCACATCGCCGAGCAGTGTTCTGGCTCCTGCCCGCAAGTTGCCCAATGACACTGTCAGTGAGGGCATCATCACCCCTAGCTCACATGCTCGGCCAAGCCTGCTCACTTCTTTTTACCCTGTGGGAAGCCTTGTCACAAGGAGCAGTTCAGAGTCACCGAGCAAGCAGCCGGCTGCTGTGATGACTTTAGTCCTACCACAGAAGTTCCTGAGTCCAGGTCTGGGTTGGAGAAGGCCTCACTCCTTTTCTCAGTGGTCTCAGAACAGGCCAAGAAAGGATGTTGTTGGTGCTGGGGACTGGACCGAGACTGGGGCTTGGGGCCGGGGGCCTTGAGCTGGAGCCGGAGCCAGGACTGGCAAGTCTTCAGGGTTGTGCTGGAAAATAATTTTAGATCCTACATTTGCCAAGAAATATGGGAGACAGGAGCACTGGGGATTGGAGTGAGATCTTCCTGTGAGGTAAAGGGATAGGCTCCCCCGGCTTCTGTGGGACATCCTGCATCTTTTTCTTAAAAAAAAAAAAATATATATATATATATACACACACACACACACACACACACACACATTTGAAAGGCAGAATTTGCAGAGCGAGATCATCCATTGGTTCACTCCACCTATTCACTCCCCCAAATGACTGCAATGGCTGAAGTTGGGCCAGTCCTCAGCCAGGATCCAGGAGCTTCTTCCAGATCTCTCAAGTGGGTAGCAAGGAGCCAAAAGGTTTAGGTCATCTCCATTGCTTTCCTAGGAACATTGGCAGGGAACTAGATTGAAAGTGAAGCAACTTGGACTCAAACTGGCACCCACATGGGGCATTGACATTACAGGTGGCGTCTTGCAACTCCTTATACCACAGTGCCAGTCCCTCAGCATCTTTTCTAGGGCAGCTGGTTCACTCAGCACATGGTGGGGGAGGGCTACACTCCAGCCGAGAGTCTGATGGGAGTCATGGTCCTTTATTGCAGAAATACATGTTTTTGTCTCTAGCTTCAGGCGTCCACAGATTCCCCAAGGCCACACTAACATTGGGCCAGGTTAGGAAGGGCCCTGCCTGATGCTCACGCTTCACCCCTTGGGGCTAAAGGGTGAAGGAAGGGTCTAGGGTACCCTCCTTAGTTTTGCAGAGCTTAGCAGCATACCTTTGTATTCGGACCCCCAAAACTTAGGCTAGGACAATTAAAGTATAACTTTTAGATAAGGGGGCTGGGTGAGGGGGAAGGAAGTAGAGTGGCAATGGAGAGCTGACTTCTCCCCTGTTCTAGCCTGGTCTGAGGACAGGGCCCAGACAAGGGGTGGAAGAAGAGAAGCAAGCCAGGGAGAGAGATGAGCAGTGAGCAATAGCCCCTTCCTTCCCCAGCTGCAAGCAGCCCAGCGGGTTAGATGAATGCTGGGAAGGGGGAGAGTGACCCTGGTAGAACCCTTTGTTCCGGCTGAGGCTGGAGCAGGGGCACTGAGCCATTCACACGCCATCCCAGGGCATCCTGCTGGGTACGATGGGGAGGGGGCACAGCAGCCGGCCATGGGACTTGGCCAGGCAGATAGCCCGATATTCAATAGGGGGGGGGGACTAGCTGCGTGCTGCTGAGGCTGGGGGAGGGGCTGTGACTGGTCCCTGTGGACAGACTGATCCCCCCTCCTCCAGACCTGTGGGACTCAGAACAGCTCTTGCTGCCACCTCTTCCCCCCTGTGAATTCTTCATCCTATAGTGTTTTAGCATTTCAATTCTACTCTCCTTACCAACCCTGATCAATATGCCAAGATCTGGTGCAAAGGGGAAAAGCATCCTAAGCTCAGGAGGGTTGGAGGTGGCATCTTCACATCCCCCCAGCCTGCCTCCCCCGTCACCTCTTCTGTGCCCAGCAGTCCTTCTGCAAGAGCCTCTGGGTGGTGTCCTTGGTTCCTGAGCTTTGGGAAGTACATTGCCAAAACACCTCACCCTAGGCCAGATCCCCGGACTGTTTGTGAGGCCACAGAAGAGGATGTCTTCTGGACTATTTTTACCCAAGCGTTCTGTCGTCATGGTTCCCAGAATGCCAGAACCCCTGGACCAGGCGCCTCTGCAGAAGCTAAGCCCTCCCTGGCTTCCTTTCCCTCTGTCCAGGCCTGGCCAGCAGCTCCGAGTGTGCCTGTGGTCGGAGTCACTTCACATGCGCCGTGAGTGCCCTTGGTGAATGTACCTGCATCCCCGCCCAGTGGCAGTGCGATGGGGACAACGACTGTGGGGACCACAGCGATGAGGATGGATGTAGTAAGCACCTGCCGGGGAGCGGGGAGAAGGGAGGTGGGGAACAGGGCCAGGGTGGGGCTGACCGAATGTCCTGTGCTTTGGGTCAGACTCGGAGAGCTGGACTCTTGAAAGAGTGACAGTCGCCAGCAGACAGGTGGCTGCTCACCCTCTTCATTCTGGCCCTCTGTCTTGTTTGTTTGTTTGTTTTTGTGCACTTCAAAAAGCTTATGGAACATAGGATTAGAAGATGTTTATTTCAGCACAAAAAGTTTTGAAATCAATGCATAATTTTTGCATAATAAGCATTTTCTTTGAACTTATTGGAAACCCCTCATCTCTCCAATGAAACAAACTCTTGGAAAAAGTATTGAAATAACAAATAGTCTGTAGTAAGAGAGATTCCCATGTTTATTTAAATGTGTAAATACGCTGCATATTTACACATTTAAAAATATGTGGATTCTAACCATGGATGAAGATTATTTTCGTGTTTCTTGTTGTGCCATTTTGTTTAATCAGACCTTTTCAAAATAACATAAATGGTCAGAAATATTACATTCTTGCTCTTTTTAAAAGATCAATTTATTTTTTTGGAAAGGCAGATTTACACAGAGAAAGAGAGACAGAAATATCTTTCATCTGCTGGCTCACTCCCCAAATAGCCACCACAGCCAGAGCTGAGCTGATCCAAAGCCAGGAGCCCAGAGCTTTTTCCAGGTCTCCCACGCAGGTGCAGGATCCCAAGGCTTTGGGCTGTCCTTGACTGCTTTCCCAGGCTGCAAGCAGGGAACTGGATGGGAAGTGGAGCGGCTAGGACACAAAGAGGCGACCATATGGGATACTGTGCTTTGAGATGGAGGATTAGTCAGCCAACTGAGCCATTGTGCCAGCCCCTACATTCTTTTTCACCGTCCCCTCCTCTCTAACAGAGTCAGATCCGTGAAAATGCCACAGCTGAGCCTGGGCTTGGAGGGTGCAGTCCTGGGTCTGCAGCATCTTTAGTGAAAATGAAGCTGCTGCCTGGGGATTATAAACCTTCACCTGTTGAGCTAATTGCGATGATGATGCTTCCCTTTCGTGTAGCTCTTTCCTGGGCATTATCTGCGAAGGCTTCTCGGAGCCAAGAGTAATTATCCCCATTGCACAGTCAAAGAAAACGAGGGCCTGGAAAGGGTGAATGCCTTGCTGGCTGTCATAAGTAATGAGTTCTAGAGAACTGGAAATTGTGCTTCACTCTGCCAGTCATCACTCCCTGCGAGAGGAGGGGATATTTCTCAGTGTTCTTGATGTCATCCTTCCTCCACAGCCCTGGGAATCCCTCACCCCCATGTCCATCTGACACCTGCCTCTTAGGTTCTAGCTCCTGCCATCGGCTGGGGCAGGTGCAGCAAGCAGTCAGTGAGGAGGGCCTAGAAGGCAGACAAGCGAGTTTGGAAAGAGGGGTGTTGGGCGACGTTTGTGGCTGGGTTATGGCCACCTGAACATGTACAGCAGGTTGATTCACTTTTTCCTTGTGTTACTGGGACTCAGTGCTGCCCACCTGTTCACCCCTTGACTTTCACTGTGACAACGGCAAGTGTATCCGGCGCTCCTGGGTGTGTGATGGCGACAACGACTGCGAGGACGACTCGGATGAGCAGGACTGCCGTGAGTGCTGGACACTTTGGCAGGGCATATCCTGGGGGCTCCCGGGCATTACCAGGGGCACGCTGCCTACGTCAGCCGCATGGCTCTGTGTCTACAGCTCCCCGGGAATGCGAGGAGGATGAGTTCCCTTGCCAGAACGGCTACTGCATCCGGAGCCTGTGGCACTGCGACGGGGATAATGACTGTGGCGACAACAGCGATGAGCAGTGCGGTGAGCCGGGGTGCTGCCGTAGAGTTGACATCAAAACGGAGCAAGCATGGTTCATTGCTAACTGCAGTGCTTTTTGGCTTTTTTAACTTCTGCTTGACTTGTATGACTATGAGACTGTGTGAGCTCGCGGGCCGAGCCATACGTGACCTTAAGCACAGATAGTTTTCGGTTTGCTGGAATCAAGACCCCAGTAGGGTTACCTCACAGGTGGCTCCAAAGCCTGAGTCTGGTTATGCTAACTACCCGGCCGGATAAGATACAGCCACAGGCTGTCCAGCCACAACAAGCTATTGTAAACTGCCCCTTTAAGAACCCTGTGTAAAAAAAATCTGTTAGGGGGTGTTAGTCCCAATCAGTCAGTCACCTTACCTCTCATTGTAATAAAACTTTGTTGTGACTGTCACTGGTAAACGTAGCATTCTGTTTTAGTGGTCACATGAATACCACACTGTGAGGAGAGGCAGGCTGGGCCGCTGGCTGGTGCAGGGCTGGCCTGGTGCAGTGGTCCCTGCCCTGCCAGACCTTGACATCACCCCCGGGGCTCTGGAGCTGGAGCGGGGGAGGGGGCAGGCAGAGCTGAGAACCAGGACATGCTGGGAACTGGCAGAGTCTACGCTAAATCCAGGATGTCTTCCGGGGGCCTGGTCAGCAGCCTCAGAGGGCCAAGGGGGGCTAGAGGTGAGGGGGGCTGGTGAGGTGGCTGCATTGCACCCTCCATTCTTCACCCCAGACATGCGCAAGTGCTCGGACAAGGAATTCCGCTGCAGCGACGGCAGTTGCATAGCGGAGCACTGGTACTGTGATGGCGATACGGACTGCAAAGATGGCTCCGACGAGGAGAACTGTCGTGAGTGTCCCCAGATCTCGGGCTGTCGGGCTGGATGAGGGCAGCAGCCTCCACCCGATGGCTGTGCAGAGGGCAGAGCTAGGCTGGGAGCAGGTGCCCACATGGGATGGCATGGGAGGGTTCCCTTGGGTCTACCTGCCTCTGGGAATGTGCTTCCTTCTCAGCTCCCTGGGCATCGCGCCCATGGGGTAAGTCAGGGCCCCTCAGCCTGAGCGTCTGTCCCCGCCCCACCTCCAGCTTCGGCAGTGCCAGCGCCCCCCTGTAACCTGGAGGAGTTCCAGTGCGCCTATGGCCGCTGTATCCTGGACATCTATCACTGCGATGGTGATGACGACTGCGGAGACTGGTCAGACGAGTCCGACTGCTGTGAGTGCTCCCGTGGCAGGGGAGCAGGGAGGGGAGAGGAGGCCACAGCTCAGGGGAGGACTTCCCTCACTCCCCGATCCTCCTTGGGCAGAGGTGGAAGAGCCAACGTGCTGGGGCTAGGCCTTTCTCATCTACCGTGGGACGCTGAGTGCACAGACCCCGGCTGTGTGTTTCCGCAGCCTCCCACCAGCCCTGCCGCTCTGGGGAGTTCATGTGTGACAGTGGCCTCTGCATCAACGCAGGCTGGCGATGCGATGGGGATGCAGACTGCGATGACCAGTCTGACGAGCGCAACTGCAGTGAGTCGGGGAACGGCACCAAGCATGTGTTGCAAAAGACCAGCGTGTACAGTTCTATGGGTTGGGCACCGCGCACAGGCCCCATGTCTGGTGGGACACAGTAGAAATAGCCTCATTGTGGCAGTTTTCCAGCAGATGGCAGTAAAGAGTTGTTTTTAAGATTGATTTATTTGAAAGGCAGTTACCGAGAGTGAGAGTCAGAGGCCTCCCGTCTACTAATTCAGTTCCCAGATAGCCGTAATGGCCAGAGCTGGGCTGGTCCAAAGCCAGGAGCTTCTTCCAAATATACCTCACAGGTACAGGGTTCCAAGGCTTTGGGCTATCTTCTGCTGCTTTCCAGGTGATACATGGGGAGCTGGAGCAGAAGTGGAGCAACTGGGATTTGAACCAGTATCTATATGGGATGCCGGTACTGCACACAGAGGCTTAACCTCTTAGGCCATGGGCCAGCCCAATACAGAGTCTTGAAGAAAAGATATCTTTTCCTGATTGACACCATAGATCAACTCTCACCCTGGGCTGGCCAGGGGTGGCACAGGGGCTAATGTAAAGTCCAGCTTCGGGTGGCAGGGTGGAGTTTGAGGTCATGCGAGGGCCAGCCTTTCATTAGGCCTTTGCTTTGCCCAGCCACCGCGATGTGTTCTGCGGAGCAGTTCCGCTGCCGCTCAGGCCGCTGCGTCCGCCTGTCCTGGCGCTGTGATGGCGAGGTCGACTGTGCCGACAACAGCGACGAAGAGAACTGTGAGAACACAGGTGGGGTCTCCCCGAATTCCCGCAGAGCCCTCATCCTGGGACTGGAGGAGGGGACAGGGAGTAGGGAGAGGGGGGGTTCCTGCTAGCGTCCCACTTTGTCCTGGAGCTGCTGAAGTTAGATTTTCCCATGCTCGGGATTTTCCTGTCCTTCCCATTGACCACTGTCCAACGCAAGTGCATGATGGCCCTGTGGCCTGAAACAGTATCACAGGCTCAGAGTTGCCAGTGTTACTCATGTCCTAACTCACACATGCCCAGAGCCTGCCTCCAGCTGGCAGCCCTATGCCTACTCGTGACCCACACCCAGTACCAGGCACGTAGAGCTGCATTGGTATTGTGCCCCATGTCCCTCACCATGCCACCGCCATGTCCTGGGGAGAAGATGAATGTGGACGCTCAGCCAGCCCTGTCTGTGCTATTTCCTGCCTTGGGCCCCGGACCCTCCCACCTTGAATCTCGTCTGTCTGCAGCTCAGCCTACAAAATGACAGGCTCCGGCTTCTTGTGGACCCAAGCCCTGCCCTGCTGTGACCTGACTCTCCTTCCCACCTGCCCCTTCCTCTTTTCCGCTCCCTCCCTCTCTTTCTAGGAAGCCCCCAGTGTGCCTCAGACCAGTTCCTGTGTTGGAATGGGCGCTGCATCGGGCAGAGGAAGCTGTGCAACGGGGTCAATGACTGTGGGGACAACAGCGACGAAGGCCCACAGCAGAATTGCCGTAAGTGTCCCCCGGTGGGCAGGCCCGCCTGTCCCGTGGTTTGTGGTTGGACCCCACCCATAGAGTTCAAAGAGAATCCTCCCTGGGGATTCTCAGAGTTTTGGGAGCTGTTCTTCGTGGGCTGGGTGGAATGCCAATTTGGCTCAGGGCGGGGAGGAGGAGGGTTCTGGGCTCGACTCCCAGCTCTGGCCTGGCTGGCACAGGGCCCCGGACGGGTGAGGAGAACTGCAGTGTTCACAACGGCGGCTGCGCCCAGAAGTGCCAGATGGTGCGGGGAGCGGTGCAGTGTACCTGCCACACAGGCTACAGGCTCATGGAGGATGGGCGCACGTGCCAGGGTGAGAAGGGGTGGGGTGCGCACCTGCCTTAGAGCATAGTCAGGGAGCAGGTGAGACCGGCAGGCAGGCAGCTGTGTTTCCTGTGGGTCAGGATGGACATGACCTCAGCCATCCTCCCAGAAACCCCAGGAAGAGGGATCACCCCCCACCCCTATTTCACAGACGGGGACGCTGAGATTCAGGGAGGGTAGGTCACCACAGATCACAGGGTTAGGCAGTTGCAGAGCTGGGATTCCAGCCTGGGTCTGTCTGCATGTCACACAGCCTTCCCACTGGGTGGGGATGAGAGCAGGAAGCAGCCAGTGGTCCGGGGTCTTGCAGTGTGGCACAGTGGTCCTGGGAGGTCGGCTCATCCTGCCCCGTGTTCCCAGATGTAAATGAATGTGCTGAAGAGGGATACTGCAGCCAGGGCTGCACCAACAGTGAAGGAGCGTTCCAGTGCTGGTGTGAAGCAGGCTACGAGCTCCGGCCTGACCGGCGCAGCTGCAAGGCTCTGGGTAAGGAGTGTTTGCCTCTGGCTGGGTGGGCAGAGGGCTGAGCGTGGAGAAGCAGCCAGGCGATCTGTAGCTCAGGATGTAGTTGGCAGGCAGAGAGATTTCCATCAGAAGGAAAACGAAGCTCCGAGTGACATTCTGGGGCTCCAAGGAACACCGAGTTGGTGTGGGGTGGATGGAGTGTGCACTGTGGAGGGTTCTAACATGTAGTACCGAGACTGACCGCTTGGGGCGTGCCCTTCTGTGGACCAGGGGCACCAGCTGTCAGCTGAAGCCCACAGAGACCTGGTTCTTGTGCTGTTTCCCAGGGCCGGAGCCTGTGCTGCTGTTTGCCAATCGCATTGACATCCGGCAGGTGCTGCCGCACCGCTCCGAGTACACCCTGCTGCTCAACAACCTGGAGAACGCCATCGCTCTGGACTTCCATCACCGGCGGGAGCTGGTCTTCTGGTCAGATGTCACCCTAGACCGGATCCTCCGTGCCAACCTCAACGGCAGCAATGTGGAGGAAGTTGTGTCTACTGGGCTGGAGAGCCCAGGTGGGGATGAGGCCCCAGGGGAAGGGGCCAGGCTGGACCACGGTGGAAGGAGCAGCCGGGAGGGTTGCCAGGCTGGGAGGAAGGAGAATATGTTTTTCTTCCAGGGCAATATGACATGAAGCTCTGATACCAACAAACCATTGCAACTGTATAGGAGGGTACTTCAGAAAGTTGGCAGGGGTGATGATTAAGGGGAAAGCGGAAGTGGAGCTGTTTGTCTCTGCCATAGGAGCACCTGAGTGCAATTCCTAGCTAAAGCAAACCCTGCAGGCAGCAGCGACGACTATAGTCCTGCCACCCAGGGGGCAGATCTGGAGCGAGTCCCTGGCTCTGGAAAATAGGGGAATCGAAGAGCCAGATGGGTGTTCCTCTTTTTCAGTAAATTGGAAGGAAAAAAGAGTTGAAAAATGTAATGAAAAGATATGTCGGTTTTGGTGCAGCAAAAATGTTGAAATGCGTACTTAGAGGCTGGTGTGGCATAGCACATTAAGCTGCTGCTTGTAGCGGCAGCATCCCATAGTAGAGCACTGGTTCAAATTCTGGCTGCTTTCTGCTAATGCACCTAGGAAAGCAGCAGAGAATGATGCAACTACGCGGGCCCTTGCCACCTGCCTGGGAGACCCAGATGGACCTCTAGGCTCCTGACTTCGCCTGGTCCAGCGCTGCACGTTGCAGCTGTTTGGGGAGTGAATCAGAGAGGATAGAAGATGGATATTCAATCTCCCTCTCTGTCACTCTACCTTTCAATAGATACACCTTTTTTTTTTAAGGGCTTATATTTAAATAAGCCATGCATAGTTTTTTCAAGTTTCATCAGATTTTTTCCCAACAGCTAGGCCAAAGACCTGGTCCTCTAGTTCATTTATTCTATACGCTTTCCATGGATTTTTTTTGAAGACCCTTCACATATACAATTTCAAAATTATCTTGTGTCAAAGTAAGCTCCCCTTTTCATACCACCTTCCACCCATCTTTTGACGTGCCCTCCTATTAGCTGGATATGTTCAGACACAACATTTGCTTGTCGTTGAGCTCAGTCCGTGAGAAGAATGAGAGCTGTGTAGTCTGTCTCACAACAGAATCGGGGGTCTGTGGCTCGCAGTGCTCGTGCTCCATGGGCCTCAGCGGCCCGTTTACTTCTCGGTTTTGTTTTGATGATTCCTTGGTATTAAGCACATTTGGATCAACTCACCTAAGTGTTTCCAGATTGTAAAAGAGAGCTACAGCTCACCTGGACTTGTCAGGTTCCTCTGTAAGCTGGTGGAATGGGTGAGAATTTGGTTAAGCACGCTTTAGATTCAAATCCTTATGGAACTTCTGAAATGCTTCTGGAAATTCCCCACGCAATGACTGGTAACCCCTTGAGTCAGTGCACTGGGGACCCCGGGTTTGGGCCACAGAAGCAGAACCAGAAGGTGGACCAGGGCGGGCTGTGAGTGGGACATGCGCGCTCTTGGGTGGTTAGGTGACAGGGCAATGCCCCTGCTTCCTCTTCTTCATGGGGACCGTGGGACGTGTCCCTCACAGAGCTGTGACGATGACATGAGGAGATGGATGCAGTGGTTAGAGCCCAGCACACAGGCCCAAGTGCCAAGTCCCTCATGCTTCACTGCCGCTTCTCCCCAGGGGGCCTGGCTGTGGACTGGGTTCATGACAAACTCTACTGGACCGACTCAGGGACATCGAGGATTGAGGTGGCCAACCTGGATGGGGCACACAGGAAGGTGTTGCTGTGGCAGAACCTGGAGAAGCCTCGGGCCATTGCTTTACACCCCATGGAGGGGTGAGTAAGCCGTGCACAAGCTCCCCCACCTTCGGGAGAGTTCCCAGGGGTCAGGGATGCCCGCCTTGGCAGGAACTGGCTGTGTGGCCTTGAACTGCTTCATCTTGGTCTCCATTAGCTCATTTCTAAATTAGAAAAAAATGCCTCTCTTCTACTTGTGGGAAGATTAAACGAGTTGATGCGTTTTCAGCAGCAGGAGATAAGTTGTAGCTGTTTAATACGTTTGCTCTTAGCTCCTAGGGTTAATTAAAATCAGTGTGAATTATCTTATTCATTATTGATTTGAAAATTAGTAGAAAAATTTCCTGTATGCAATGAGAAATCTCCTGCAATGGAATTTCTTAGCCAGGGTGTTTTAAGTTGAGTTAGGGGGTGTCTTCTAAGATCTTGTGGTTGTGTGTCAGCTGTTTTAGAAATGTGTGCGTATAATATACAGAAGGCCCTGGAAGAGATTATCATGAAGAAAGCACCTGCGCTGATACTAACACAGTCTTGCTAATTCCTCGAGGGTTTGAGACCTTATTTGCTTGTGACTGGCGCAGTAGAAAGCGCTCTAGACAAAGCAGGCACCTGGGGGAACATGTTTGTGCGTGATATGAGTAAATGCCCTGCCTGAGGAAACATTCAGAAACCTCTCCAGCTTAAACAGATAGAAGCCCCCTACTAGGGACAGCCCCCCCCCCCGCCCCCGCCCCAGGACCTACCCACCCTCTTCCCCTGCTCATCCTCCAGTTTCCGTTTCTCTTTTCCTAGTACCATTTACTGGACAGACTGGGGCAACACCCCTCGCATCGAGGCCTCCAGCATGGATGGTTCTGGACGCCGCATCATCGCTGACACCCATCTCTTCTGGCCCAACGGCCTCACCATCGACTATGCCGGACGCCGGATGTACTGGGTGGACGCTAAGCACCATGTCATCGAGAGGGCCAACCTGGACGGGAGTCACCGCAAGGCTGTCATCAGTCAAGGTGAAGGCCCCACTCTCCCGTGCTGTCCATGCTCTTCCCCTACCCTCACCCTCAGGGAGGTCTGGTGCTGGTGCCAAGCCTGGATCCAGGGGCCATACTGGGCAGTGTCTGGACTAACATCTTCTTGGGCTTTGCCTAGGCCTCCCACATCCCTTTGCCATCACGGTGTTTGAAGACAGCCTGTACTGGACAGACTGGCACACCAAGAGCATCAATAGTGCTAACAAGTTTACTGGGAAGAACCAGGAGATCATTCGTAACAAACTCCACTTCCCCATGGACATTCACACCTTGCACCCCCAGCGCCAACCTGCAGGTAAAAATAAAAAACAACAACAACAAAAAATTGCCCGTCAGGTGAGCCAGAAGGGCTATAGCTTCCTGGAGCAGAAAACCTTCCATTACACCTGACCTAGTCTGATGCTATTTCTTCTTGGTGGGGCAAGAACAGGGCTGCCAGTCACCCAGGCCAATTCTGCCCCCTGCTGGACATTTAGGATGGTACAGCATCAAGCCTCCCAAAAGACTGCATTCATTCACCTCAAACATTTACAGGGTTGTCTCCTGTGCGTCAGGTACTCATTGTGCCAGCAGTTGGGCTAGATTAAAAGATAATACGACATGAATCCTCCCTTTGGGGAGCTCACTCTCCCAAAACCCCGGCTTGCTAGGCTTGGGGCTGGCTACCTTTGCCAACCTGTAGTCTTACCTGACCCTCTCTGAGCAGGCAAAAACCGCTGTGGGGAAAACAACGGAGGCTGCACCCACCTGTGTCTGCCCAGTGGCCAGAACTACACGTGTGCCTGCCCCACTGGCTTCCGCAAGATCAGCAGCCATGCCTGTGCCCAGAGTAAGTGGGCCCGGGCTGTCGGCCTCCACGGAGGTGCCTTGTGAGGATGGGTGGAAGCAATGAGGGGTAGAGTTGGAGGGGTTTTACCTGCCTGGGAAGGGGAGTGGGGGGACAGCTAGACTCCGCAGGGAGTAACCCTGGAGAGATGAAGAGCTGAAGAGGCTGAGGGTTCCCGTATCAAAACTGAGGCCTGTGGACCTAGCAGGCCGAGGCACGCTCCCAAGTTGAGTTTGAACATCTGCAACCAGGTGTGGGTGTCACTCCGCCTCAAGGAAGCGAGAGGATCCCAACCTCTTGTACAAATCCAAGGGATGAACTGGTACCTCTTTACCTTTCCCTTCAGACTTTCCCTTGACCTGGGGAGCCAGAATTAGGGTCTCTAATAACATTCTGAGAACACGGGCCCTGGATAAACACATGTCCAAGGAATGGAAGATTAGGGGATTCCCTTGGGTCTCCCCGGCTGTCACTCAGGCTTCTTTTGAGCCCTGCAGGGTTACCGATTCGCAGTGGTCTTCCTGGAGAGCTCAGCACCATAGGTGTTTTTTTTAAAGAAGACACTGGGGAGGCACAGCAGGCTAATCCTTCACCTGCAACACTGGCATCCAGTATGGGCACTGATTCGTGCCCCAGTTGCTCTACTTCTAATCCAGCTTCCTGCTTGTGGCCTGGGAAAACAGCAGAGAATGGCTCAAATCCTGAGCCCCTCCTCCTTTTTTTTTTTTCAGCTTAAATATATATATATTTATTTATTTGAAAGGTAGAGTTACAGAGAGAGCATGAGAGAGACAGAGAGGCAGATTTTGCATCTGCTGGTTCATTCCTCAAGTTGGCTGCAACAGCCAGGGCTGAGAGCTTCATCTGGGTCTCCCAGTTGGGTGGCAGGGGCCCAAGGACATGCGTCATCTTTTGTTGCTTTTCCTAGGCCGTTAGCAGGGAGCAGGAAGTAGAGTGGCTGGGACTTGAACCAGGGGATGCTGGTGCCACAGGCAATGGTTTTTACCTGCTGTGCCACAGTATTATCTCCCAGCATAGGTTCTTATGTTTCATTATATACTCCAGTGACCTTCTTAAGTCTGGTTAAATTCAAACCCTCCTGGGAGTGGAATCCTTGCCAGTGAGGGCCATCTGGGAAAACAGTTAGAGGTTTCATTTGTGCACAGTGCTTGGTAACCTAGTTTCGTGCCCCATGTTTTCCCCTTCCATTCTTTTGTGCCAGCTCTTCTATTGTCTAGGTGACATACTAGTGATTGCCTCGGGAGCTTGCCCTTAAGGGTTGCCAGAGCTTAACAGACAACTACAATGTTAGGCAGGAAATGTCTTCCTGAGCAGAAAGGCAGGTGCTCGAGCCTCTGTCTCTCAGCACTCCTCATCAGCAGATGCAGCTACTGCAGGCCCTGGACCACACAGGCAGGCCTAGGATGGCTGCATCTGTACTGAGCAAGGACAAATATTATTTTTGTCTTATCACTATTTCCTGAACAATAGAACACCAGATTTTCAAAGACTTATTAGCTTAGCTTAGTTGAGGGGAAAGGTGTGAGAGAGACAGAAAAGAAGAGATCATTTTTTTAAAAAGATTTATTTATTTTTATTGGAAAGTCAGATATACAGAGAGGAGGAAAGACAGAGAGGAAGATCTTCCATCTGATGATTCACTCCCCAAGTGGCCACAAAGGCTGGAGCTGAGCCAATCTGAAGCCAGGGGCCAGGAGCTTCTTACCAGACCTCCCATGTGGGTGCAGGTCCCAAGGCTTTGGGCTGTCCTCTACCTCTTTCCCAGGCTATAAACAGGGAGCTAGAATCGAAGTGGAGCAGCTGGGACACAAACCTGTGCCTGTGTAGGATCCTGGCATATGCAAGGCGAGCGTATTAGCCTCCTGGAGAGAGATCTTTTATCTGCTGGGCCACTTGTCAAATGACTATAACAGCCAGGATTGAGTCAGGACAAAACTAGAGGCTGGGAACTTCATTCACGCCTCCTACGGGGGTAGCAGGGAGCCAAGTACTTGGGATCATCGTCTGTCTTCCCAGGTGCATTTTATTAAGAAGTTGTATCAGAAGCAGAGCAGCCAGGGTTCCAACTGGCACTCCGGTATAGAATGATGACATCCTAAGTGCTGGCTTAATGTGCTGTGCCACAACGCTGGCCCCTTTAGCAATAGTCTGTGTCGTATTAATGATTCCAAGCATACAGAAGGATATATCTAGCTTAAGTGCAAGTACTTATGCCATTTTATGCAAGGGACTTGAGTGCCTGTAGATTTTGATATTCTAGGGGGTCCTGCAAGGGATTCTTTGCAGACCCATGGAGAGTAATCAGGCAGGCCAGCACAGGGCGGAGTGTGGAAGAGCAGGATACACAGATGCTGTGTCCACAAGTGCCCGTGGCTCCCTGTCTGTGTAGTCGTGGGATCCTGGGCGGCTTCCCTGATCTCTGTTAGCCTCAGTGATACTCACCTGGAAAATGGGATTAAGGACAACATGTTCTACAAAGAGTCGGTGTGAGGCAAGAAGGAGCACCAGTGAATAGTCGCTAAAGCTGCAAGGAGTGAGAGGAAGGGGCGATGTGGGGGAGCAGCAGAAGCAGACAGAGCAGCAGGGGATGCTGGGGGTCTCTCCTGGATAGTGAAGAAACAGAAAAGTTGAGTCGAGGCCTGACAGACACTGGTAGAGGATGCACTGCAGGGTCAGGGCAAGACCTGTCTCCATCTGAGCCTCAAGTCTGATGTGGCCAGTGTGGCCTCGCCAGTGCAGAGAGGGGACCTGGAGTGTGAATAGTAGGGGTGAAGGGCGCGAGATCCCAGGAAGTGTGGTTGAACCAGATGTCACCCAGGTGAGCATCTGTGTGGGTCACCATGCCTGGACGTAGAGCATTAAAAGAAGACCCCTTTCGGCCTTTGATCAGGTCTTGACAAGTTCCTGCTTTTTGCCCGAAGGATGGACATCCGTCGGATCAGCTTCGACACAGAGGACCTGTCCGATGATGTCATCCCACTGGCTGACGTGCGCAGTGCTGTGGCCCTTGACTGGGACTCCCGGGATGACCACGTATACTGGACAGACGTCAGCACTGATACCATCAGCAGGGCCAAGTGGGATGGAACAGGACAGGAGGTAGGTAGGGGCCCAGGCCCTCCAGGAGGGCACACGTGGAGGGGTGGAATCCAGGTCTGGGAGCTAGGGATGTGGCTGAGTTTGGGTTCCACGGCCAGGAATACAGCTCTGTGTCCTGCCCAGGTGGTGGTGGATACCAGTCTGGAGAGCCCTGCTGGCCTGGCCATCGATTGGGTCACCAATAAGCTCTACTGGACAGACGCAGGTAGGTAGAACGGGAACCAGAATTGGTGCCTTGGGCTCCCCTTTATTTAAAACCCTGGCCTTAAGTGGACAGCAGAGCTCAGCGGTGCTACTCCATACATCGCACATAGCAATGTGAGACACATTGAGACACATGGCAGCTGCATCTGCTATGTGGCTCATATCAAGGAATGTTCTAATGCATTTTAGGTAAGGAACCTAGGCCCTGGGGTTTCCTTTCATCACTGATTAGGGAAAATTGGCATTATTATTATTAGTAGTAGCAGTAGTAGTATTAGCCAAGTGGGTGTGGGAGGTAGTGGGAATGCTTTAAAGCAGTACTATTCAAAGTGTGGTCCCTGGACCACTACTGGCAAGATTATTAGAAATACAAAATCTTGGGCCCTACCACAGACTCCAAGAGTCTCTCTAGGGACTTTAGGGTCATATAGAAAAGCTCTATTTCAACAAGTTCTTGTGATTCTTAAAACAAGTACAGCTCAAGAAGCAGTGCCCTAAATTAAAGGACTGAGTGCATTGAATAGATTGGGAAGTCATTCTCTCCCCCAACACAGAACAGAGCACTTCCCTGGATTTCTTCTTGCTGTTCAATTTCCAAAATGTCCATTATATTTCTTTAAAAAAAAGATTTATTTTTTTTTATTGCAAAGTCAGATATACAGAGAGGAGGAGAGATAGAGAGGAAGATCCTCCATCTGCTGGTTCACTCCCCAAATGGTCGCAGCAGCCAGAGCTTAGCCCATTTGAAGCTAGGAGCCAGGAGCTTCTTCTTGGTCTTCCACAAGGGTGCAGTTCCCACTGCTTTGGACCCATGCTCTGCTGCTTTCTTTCCCAAGCCACAGACAGGGAACTGGCTGGGAATTGGAGCAGCCAGAACACGAATCAGTGCCCATAGGGGACCCCAGCACTTGCAAGGTGAAAATTTAGCCACTGGGCCCTCATGCCGAGTTAGGGCCGTCTTGTGTTGCTTTCCTAGGTGCACAAGCAGAAAGCCGAGTTAGAAACAGAATAGCCAGGATGTGAACTGGCACTCCAATACAGGAGTCTGAAGTCGTAGCCTCACCTGCCACACATCCCACAAAATATTTGTCGAGTACCTGGTGCATGCCAGACTCTGTGCTGGAGAGCGGAGGTGTGATGGACAAGGCAGGAGTTCGTAACTTTGACCCTTCTTCCCACTAGGCACAGACCGGATCGAAGTGGCCAACACAGATGGCAGCATGAGGACAGTGCTCATCTGGGAGAATCTTGATCGTCCTCGGGACATTGTGGTGGAACCCATGGGCGGGTGAGTGCTGGCCACACTGCACCAGGCTCCCCCCAGCCCACTCCCAGAGGGGTGCCTGGGGACCGTGAAAAGTGGACAGGTCTTTGTTGCATGCCAAGGAAATGCAGGAGCCACTGTAGAGACTGTAAAGGGAGGGACAACCTTGTCTCTTCTGTGGACAAGGAAACACTGTTAATTTTTCTTCTTATTCCTCTCACTCACTTCCCTTCTCTCAAGATAGTTCTTGCTTGTTGTCTACTCATTGAGTTTGTTGTCTACTGTCCTTATTAAGACCCTGGGAAAACTTCTAGGACTGCTAGAAAATACAAAGCCTTCAGAGACGGCTGAGCACTGAAGCCAGAGGCTGGGGCAGTGACTGTAGACGGAAACCCTGAGACCTTTGGCACCCTGGGTCTTCACTGGCTATTTACTGGAAGGTTTTTAAAACCTCCCTGGTCTTCATACCCAGGTACATGTATTGGACAGACTGGGGTGCAAGCCCTAAGATTGAACGAGCTGGAATGGATGCCTCAGGCCGCCAGGTCATCATCTCTTCGAATCTGACGTGGCCTAATGGATTGGCCATTGACTATGAGTCTCAGCGTCTGTACTGGGCTGATGCTGGCATGAAGACCATTGAATATTCTGGACTGGATGGCAGCAAGAGGAAGGTAAGCATACCACTAAGGTGTCTTCCCACAGACCTGCGGCCTCAGGATGGCACTCCCTGCTTGGCTCCAACCCTAGCTCAGGGTACCCGGGCTGCAGAGCAGGCATGGGGCGTGGGCTGCTTCTCAGACAAGTAGGGCCCTCTAGGTGTGTATTGTGCACCAGGAGTTTAAATGCACAGAGGACATTCATATCCAGAAATACTCCCAGCCATCATTAATCTCTTTAATTTTTGTTATTATTTATTGTGGTTTAATTTCAAAATCTTTCTAGGGAAAGATTATAAGAACTTTTTTTTTTAAGCCACCATAACACTCTGTGCCATCTGCTTTACCTTCCTCTCCATATGTACGCATGCACACACAAGACACTCTTATTTTTCTGAACCACCTGAGAGTACATTGAAGACATTCTGCCTCTGGTGCCACAGCATCCCGGCACCTGCTTTCTAAGAGTAAAGGCACCATCTTACATAACCACTGTAGAACTAGCAAAATCAGTAAACATAACGTTGATAGATCAGTCTAATCAACATTCCATGTTCAGTTTCTGTACCGGTTGCCCTAGCCGTGTCCACCATAGCTTTTTTTCCCTTCTCTTTTAGTCTAGGATGTAATCCAGGATCCCCTATTGTGTGTGGTAATCCCGCCTTCCCATTCATCTCTGTAAGCATTGTGCCAGCCTTCCTGTGTCTTTCTTGATCCTTGCCTTTTTGAAAGAGTAGAAGCCAGGTGTTTCGGAGACTATCCTGATATTTGGGCTTGTCAGGTGTTTTCTTTGATTTGGAACTGATTATGCCTTTGGGGCAAAAACACCACGTTTCAGTCCTGATTTGAGCTAGTGCATCTTATCATTAGACACACATGTTGGCTTGTTCCATTTATAATAAAAGTAAATTGTACAGAGATATTTTGAGCTTCTGTGAGGAATACGTGATCTTTGGCAATCACTGTTTGCAGCCAGGCACTACCACAGATGGGTGGGCTGCAGCTTAACTGTTCTAACTAGCTCTTTTCAAGGTCACACAGTACATGGTGCTGGCAGAGCTGCATTCTAATGGCATGCCAAGCCATGACCACTGCTCTGAACCGTTGGGCTTTGCTGGGGCCCTGGCAGGTGCTGATCGGGAGCCAGCTCCCCCACCCATTTGGGCTGACCCTGTACGGAGAGCGCATCTATTGGACGGACTGGGAGACCAAGAGCATACAAAGTGCTGACCGACGGACAGGGCTAGACAGGGAGACTCTGCAAGAGAACTTAGAGAACCTGATGGACATCCACGTCTTCCATCGCAGGCGACCCCCAGGTGAGCAGCCCATGGCCCAGCCTGGATCCTCCTGGGCTTTCTTCAGCGCTGGCCCTCCCCACTGACCACCAATGCCCTCTCCCTAGTGACTACGCCTTGTGCTGTGGAGAATGGCGGCTGCAGTCACCTGTGTCTTCGGTCCCCAAATCCAAGTGGCTTTAGTTGCACCTGTCCCACAGGCATCAACCTGCTTCCTGATGGCAAGACCTGCTCACCAGGTTAGTTGAAGCATCACAGATCCGGGAAGAGCCCTCTGGGAGGGGACGTTGTCTCCCTCCTCTGCAGGCTGGCACCCATGTGGTCTGAGAATGTGATGGTGCTGGTGATTGCAGCTTTTAGGGAAGGGGAAGAGACCCAGGGGAGCAGGACGGGAGTAGAGGCCAAGGCTGACCAGCTTCTATCATGTCATCTTGCATAAGATGTTCCTTTCTCGAGATACTTTGCTCTCCATTACTAGAAAATGATCATCGTACACTGATAGGGTTAGAACAAAGCACCTCACTTCCATCAGCTCAAAACTGATATACTAATCATAACAACACACATCCACCATGTAGTGGTACCCACTCCCTTTTAAAGGTTCCACTTCTGTGAGTGCACAACCCGTGTGATAACCTTCTGGGAGAACTTGGCCCCCAGATGCTGGAAGTCAGGTTTCCCCTTGGGATGTGGCTTTGTGGTGCAATGGGTGAAGCTACTACTTGGAACCTTCCATCCTCTACTGGGATCAAACTCCTGCCTGTGTCTCCAAATGAGTTTCCTGCTAACGTGCTTGGGAGGCAGCAGGTGATGGTATCAATACTTGGGTTGCTACTACCCATGTGGAGGTCCAGGATGGAGTTCTTGGCTCCTGGCTTCAACTTGGCCCAGACATGGCTGTTATAGCCACCGGGGGATGAACCAGTAGGTGGGTGATTTCTCTCTCCCTCTCTCTCTCTCTCTCTCTCTCATTCTTATTTGTGGCTCTACCTTGTAAATAAATAAATCTTAAGATGAGAGAAAATGAGCTACTTCTATAATACAAATGAAGAAGTATCATTCAGGAATGTGTGTGAGACCTCATGCTAAGAGTTTTACATAAAGAATCTCTGTTCATCTTTACAGCCGCTCCATTTTATAGATGAGGAAACTGAGGTTTAAATGGTTTGAACAGTTTGCCCAGGCTCACACAGCTAGAACCCACCAGGCCCAGGACACGAGCCTCGGGTCGCCTGAGTTCTCCACATCCTCCTAATGGCTGTGCTAGTGTGATTGTCCTCCCTCCTTTTCTCCTTACCTGGGCAGGCATGAACAGTTTCCTCATCTTCGCCAGGAGGATAGACATACGCATGGTCTCCCTGGACATCCCTTATTTTGCGGATGTGGTCGTCCCCATCAACGTTACCATGAAGAACACCATTGCCATTGGAGTGGACCCCCAGGAAGGTCCGTGTGGCCCTCCCCTCCCACCTGGCTCCCTGTCTCTGCCCGAGCCTGATTGCCAGCCTTCTCTTCCATTTTGCTTCCTGCTAAGATTCATGGGGGTGGGGGAGCACTCCTTCTGGCAGAGCCCCTGTTCTTATCTCTATGATTTTGCTTTGGATGTGAGGGTAGCACTTGGCACCCTTTCTCTCTCTTTCTGCTCTTGCCCAAAGCTACTCTGCTATGGTAAACGAATTCTTTTCTTGGCTAAGCATCATGGGCTTTCTTAGCTAAGACTTGTGTCTCTGAGGGTGTGAATCAGCAGTGTGTGTCTGGGCCCAAATTCAGTTGTGTGTGTATGTGTGTGTTGTGGGAGTGAAGGTCTGGCTGAGCCAAGCGTTTCCTCTGCAGGAAAAGTGTACTGGTCTGACAGCACGCTGCACCGGATCAGCCGTGCCAGTCTGGATGGCTCACAGCACGAGGACATCATCACCACAGGTGGGCCTTCTTCCCAACTCTCTGAACACCTGTCTGGGCACAGAGCTAGGGAAGTATCCCATCTGTTTGGGATCAGGAGCCAATGTGCTCTTTTGACCTCCCGCAGGGCTCCAGACCACAGATGGGCTCGCGGTGGATGCCATTGGCCGGAAAGTGTATTGGACAGACACAGGAACAAACCGCATTGAAGTGGGCAACCTGGACGGGTCCATGCGGAAAGTGTTGGTGTGGCAGAACCTCGACAGTCCCCGGGCCATCGTATTATATCATGAGATGGGGTGAGAGGTGACTCTGTTGCTCTGGGGAACGGGCTGGGCCAGTTCCACTGGCGCTGTGGATGGGGTGAATGGAGAGCAAGCATGTGTCACAGGAACACTGAACTGTAAAGGTCACTGTCACCCACCTGCCCAGGGCTGTCCCACTCCCTTGTGTGTGCAGTGTGGAGGTCAAAAGCCCAAGCCTGAGGGGTCGGGAAAGCAGAACACAAGTTCTTTGATCATGTGTTAAGTGCTTCACTTGGGCCTTGTATTCGGTCTTTCAGTGTCCCTGGCTGTGACACTTAGAGGTGACAGTGATAAGGCATACTTTGGGGCCCTTGCAGGATTAAGAGAGCATGCATGTAAAGTCCATTGCAAAGTGTTGTGCATAGCATATGTGCTTATGGGAAATGGTGGCTACGGGGCTCCTCAGCCAACATTGTTCCTTGCCCAGGTTCATGTACTGGACCGACTGGGGGGAGAATGCCAAGTTAGAGCGGTCTGGGATGGATGGCTCAGACCGCACCGTGCTCATCAACAACAACCTAGGATGGCCCAATGGACTGACGGTGGACAAGGCCAGTTCCCAACTGCTATGGGCTGATGCTCACACCGAGGTGAGAGCCCTGTCCCTACTGCCCCCTCAAAGCCCAAGAAGATGGGGGAGGCTGTCCAGGATCTCCTCTGTGACCCCTGCTCAGCTGCCATCACCTCCCCTCCTTCCTCCACAGCGAATCGAGGCTGCTGACCTGAATGGAGCCAATCGGCACACATTGGTATCACCAGTGCAGCACCCATATGGCCTGACCCTGCTTGACTCCTACATCTACTGGACGGACTGGCAGACCCGCAGCATCCATCGTGCTGACAAGGGCACCGGCAGCAATGCCATCCTGGTGAGGTCCAACCTGCCAGGCCTCATGGACATCCAAGCTGTGGATCGGGCCCAGGCACTGGGTGAGAAGACCCCTGGCACCATGAGATGCAGCCTTTCTGGGTCATCTGTACTGAAAGAGAGAGATACAGCCAAGCACACAGAACCTCTTTGTCATGGGAGGGACCACCAGCCACCCACTGGGCTGCCTTCCAGATCAGGCTGTACTCCCTCTGTGTGGCTAGTATAACACTGCCTGACACTGTCACCTTCAAAGGACCCCTGGGGACACTCCTTCTGCCTCATCCTTGCCTGACAGTGAATTCTATCAGAACAGCCAGGAGCTCTGGCATGTCCCAACGATATTCCTGGACACGTGTGAAAGCTTGTGCTTCTCTCTTTGTCACCAGGTTTTAACAAGTGCGGCTCGAAAAACGGTGGCTGCTCCCACCTCTGCTTGCCTCGGCCTGCTGGCTTCTCCTGTGCCTGCCCCACGGGCATCCAGCTGAAGGGAGACGGGAAGTCCTGCGACCCCTCCCCCGAGACGTACCTGCTCTTCTCCAGCCGTGGCTCCATCCGCCGCATCTCCCTGGACACGAGCGACCACACCGACGTGCATGTCCCTGTGCCTGAGCTTAACAATGTCATCTCCCTGGACTATGACAGCGTGGATGGAAAGGTCTATTACACAGATGTGTTCCTGGATGTCATCAGGTAGGAGCCTGGCGGACTTCTCCAGAGCTCACAGCTCCTCCCACCTGGCCAAGGGATTTGACCAGTGGGAGAGTGGATACCAATTCTGACTCGTTCACCTTGTGCTGCTATCACTTGGAGCCCAGTTCCAAGTCTTCATTTTTTTCTGGTTAAAAACTATGTGTTCACACTAGTATGTGAAACAGATAGTCAGGCTGGGAGCCAGAGACTTCTATACCTGCCACTGGCCCTGAGGGATCACCGTGAATTCCCCAGGCTCACTGATTAGTAGGCCAGAGCTAGTACCTGTATCCTATATCCCAGCACAGGAGTCCCAATCAAATGCCAAGGCTTATGGTGGTTTACAAAGCTGTTTTTATCATTTTATTGTTCTTTACATTTCAAGTCTTGACGCAGCTCAGGCAATTGACATCCTGTTCCAAGTGAGCATGGTTTTCCATGGCAAAGACCCTAAAGGGTGGGGGCATCCCTGCTGGCTGACCCTGAAAGGTGTGTCAGAGTGCCAGGCTGGGAACAGGTGGGCATGTGCAGTTTGCAGAAGACCCCTGAGGTGACTATGTCATGCACCCCTGTTAAGCTTGTGTTCTCTGTTCTGGGGCCCCTGTAAAAATGCACAGATTTTTAAAAAAATCTGCCTTTCTTATAATCATCACTTAGTAATCCTTGTCTCTCCCAATATGAGAAAAATGATTAAATCGCTGTTTCCTGTTATGTGGAAATAGTCCTAATCATTCCTTCCTTCATTCAGTACGTATTTAATTGGGCACTTATTGTGCTGAGTGCTGGAAGGTGTGGTTAGATACTAGGTCTCTATCTCTAAGGTCTAGTAGGGGAACATGTTCCTGAATACAGTCTGGCCACTTATCCATCCCTGGGTTCTCCTCAAGGCGAGCCGACCTGAATGGCAGCAACATGGAGACTGTGATCGGGCGTGGGCTGAAGACCACGGATGGATTGGCAGTGGACTGGGTGGCCAGGAACCTGTATTGGACAGACACCGGTCGAAATACCATTGAGGCCTCGAGGCTAGATGGATCCTGCCGCAAAGTGCTGATCAACAACAGCCTGGATGAGCCCCGGGCCATTGCTGTCTTCCCCAGGAAGGGGTAGGTTTGTGACTGGCCAAGAAAAAGCAAAGGTGCAGGGAGGAAGGAAGAGAAGCCCTTGGCAGGGAGTGAGGGGGTGGGAGGGTGCTTATATGTTGATGGTATTGGTGTGTCCCTGTCTTCCCCTAACCTCTGAGTGCCACCTCTCCATGCCTTGGTGATGATGACACTGTTGTGTCTCAGGTTCCTCTTCTGGACAGACTGGGGACACATCGCCAAGATTGAACGGGCACACTTGGATGGCTCTGAGCGCAAGGTCCTCATCAACACAGACCTTGGGTGGCCCAACGGCCTGACCCTGGACTATGACACCCGCAGGTGGGAATCCTGAAACAGTCTCCTGAAACCTGGTGGACAGAAGACAGGATGGTTGAGATTGAAGGAGGGGATGCTCCTTGGAAGGTAGAAAGAGCAATGAGAAGGTTGAGGCAATGTCTTCTTAGGGCAGTGGCTGCAGAATCCAGCCTTACACACTTGGATGGTTTTTTATTTTATTTTCAATTTAAGAGATAGAGAGAGCTTCCCCCATCTGCTGGTTTAATCTGCAGATGACTGAAACTGGGTCGGGTCAAAGCCAGGAGCTGGGACCACAACCCAAGCCCCCCATGTTAGTGTCGGGAAATGCAGTTATTTGAGGCATCACCACTCTTTCACAGTGTCTCCAGTACGAACCAGAGCTTGGTGTGAAATCCAGACATTCCTGCTTGGCACAGGCATCCTATTGGCTTAACTACTGGGCCAGATGGCTGTGCTCTTTTAGCTGGGTTGTGTCTGGCTGACTTGCATGTTTCCATGTGCTTAATGGGAGTGTGTTTTATAGAGCAGGTCCCTTGCTGGACCCTGCTCCACCCTCCTCCATCCACTTAGAGCCAGTACTTATGTTTGTGACTTGGTTTTATCCCTTTAGGCACTGAAATTAGTCTTAGATTAAAAAAAAAAAAATGCTAGAGGGTTGGAGCAGAAGGGCGTGGAAAGGGGCTTAGAAGTCTCCCTTTCTGCCCACAGAAGGAAACAAAGGGCTGCAAGGCACCTGGCGAGTGGCAGCATACATCCTTTCACCTACCTTAGTGAGGTCCATGTGCAGTGCACTTCCTAAAGACCACTCAGAAGAATCCGGGCTTAAATGCTTGGGTAAAGGAGTCAAAAAGTGATCAGGTTGATGATCAGGTGGTGGCTGCTTGGAGGTTGCTACCATTCCTGTCCCTCCCACAACAGCTCTGGCCTCCCTGCTAAGGGATCCCAACCTCCCGGCTGAGCTTTGGGGCTTAGCATGACCTTTTGTCACAGATGCATCTGACTGCTCACAGCACCTCCCAGTTGAGCCCAGGAGGGGACACAGGGCTCCTTAGCGGGAGGAAGAGCTGGGTGCCCTGGTAAGTATTTTGAGCAGCCACCCTTCTCTCCGTTTCTTGGCAGGATCTACTGGGTAGATGCACATCTGGACCGGATTGAGAGCGCTGACCTTAATGGGAAGCTGCGGCAGGTCTTGGTCAGCCATGTGTCCCACCCCTTTGCCCTCACACAGGTACTGGCTCAGGAGAGAGGTAACTAAACCTCCTTGGCTGGGGTGCTTCCTTGGGGTTCTAAGCCTCTGCTGGACTTGTTCTTGAACAAATGTGTCATGAAAGCTCCGCCTAGGGTTTCCTCCCTGTTTCCTGAAGCCTTGCCACCAAGTTCCCTGCTACTCATGAGCCAACTATGCTCCAGCAGGCAAAGGAGTGGCTGGCTCTTCCACACTAATGTACACTCAGCTGTGGAACTTGTTCAAGTGGAGGTTCTTGGGCCCTGGCAGTAGACAATCTGATTCAGGATGACTGAGTTCATAATGTGCATTTTGCTAAGCTTAGTGTGATTTTAATGTTGTGGTGCCCACCTGGGACTTCAAGAAGCTCACTTAGTGCCAATATATGCAGATGGCCGAGAGCCAAAGTTATAAAGCTTATGGACAGTCAATAAGTGCTTTTGGAGTGCCTGCAACAGGCCAGGTACCTGGGCTTAGCTCTATCCATATTAGAAACTAATTGTATCAAATGGGAACAAGAGACTGAAGTCGAGCTTTAGTTACCTACAAAGGAAAATACACAAAGCATCCACAGAGGACCTGGAACACATTAGAAAATAACTGCATGTTATTTCAAACCATGTGTACCATAGCTGGATGTCACCTTTCAGAGCCCTAACTTGTGAAATAATTTGGAGAAGGAAAAAGATTTACTGAGGTGGGGCCCAAAACAAGGAATATTAATCATTTTAAAATCTTTTTTCATTTCTGACAGACATTCCCCGTTTCTTTTCTGTATTTTATCTAACCAGCCACAAAAATCGTCTCTAGCTTTACTCAATATCAGGTTTCTTTTCTTTCATACTTCATACTCTCTAATTGTAAAATGACAGGGTAGGCCTGAAGATGGTTTTTCAGTCTGCAAGTCTAATATCATACCCCAGGATGGGAGGGGAAACACTTTCATTGCCCCCTCCACCTGGTTGAGGCCCCCTACCTTCCTTCCTTCCTTCCTTCCTTTATTTCTTTTTCTATTTTTAAAGATTTATTCATTTTCTTTGAAAAGGCAGAGAATAAGATCCTCCATCTGCTGGTTCACTCCCTAAATGGCTGCAACAGCCAGAACTGAGCCAATTTGAAGCCAGAAACCTCTTCTGGAATTCCCATGTGGGTTCAGGATCCCTAGGCTTTGGGCCATTCTCCTCTGCTTTCCCAGGCCATAAGCAGGGAACCGGATGGGAAGTGGAGCAGCCAGGACACAAACCTTTGCACATATGGGATCCCAGAGCTTGCCGAGGGCAGATTAGCCACTTGAGCCATTGTGCCAGGCCCAAGAATCTCATAATCATTGTATTATAAGAAAAGCACCTAAAGAAAGATTGGGCCCGACATAATAGCATAGTGGTTAAGATCCTCGCCTTGCACACCTGGGATCCCATATGGGTACTGGTTCTAATCCTGGCGCCCCTGCTTCCCGGCAACTCCCTGCTTGTGGCCTGGGAAAGCAGCCGAGGATGGCCCAAAGCCTTGGGACCCTGCACCCACATGGGAGACCCAAAGGAAGCTCCTGGCTCCTGGCTTCGGATTGGCTGAGCTCCAGCTGTTGCAGCCGCTTGGGGAGTGAACCATTGGATGGAAGATCTTCCTCTCTGTCTCTCTCTCCTCTCTGTATATCTGACTTTCCAATAACAATAAATAAATCTTAAAAAAAAAAACAGAAATAAAGAAATTATTTGAACCAAGCCTTTGAGAAATGACCCAAAAGATCAGGGCTCTTCCCCAGGAGGAACCTCAGATTTATTCCTGTTTGCTAGGTATAGAACCTCCTACATTTTTATCTTTATTTTTCTGATTTTTAAAAAAGATGTAATTATTTTGAAAGAGTGACAGAGAAAGATCTTCCATTCACTGGTTCCAGACTGAAGCCAGGAACCAGGAGCTTCATCCGGGTGTCCCATGTGTCGGGGGAAGAGGCCAAACACTTGGTCCATCTTCTGCTGCTTTTCCCAGGCTTGTAACAGGAAGCTGGATGGGAAGTGGAATAGTGGGACAGAAACCAACACACATATGGGATGTGGCTTTTATCTCCTATGCCACAACACTGGTTCTCCATTCTAATCTTTGAAGAACTTAATCTGTTAGGACAGACAGACATAAAAGTGTCAAAGTCACTTGTGAAAATGACTCCACAGAGCAGGATGATGAGAAGAGAATGGTGGGCCCAGCACTGTAGAGCAGTGGTTAAAGTCCTCTCTTTAAATGCGTCAGGATTCCATATGGGTGCTGGTTCTAATCCTGGCAGCCCTGCTTCCCATCCAACTCCCTGCTCGTGGCCTGCAAAAGCAGTTGAGGATGGCCCAAAGCCTTGGGACCCTGCACCCGTGTGGGAGACTTGGAAGAAGTTCCTGGCTCCTGGCTTCGGATTGGCTCAGCTCCATCTGTTGCAGTCAGTTGGGTAGCGAACCATCAGATGGAAGATCTTCCTCTCTGTCTCTCTCCTCTCTGTATATCTGCCTTTCCAACAAAAATAAATAAAAATCTTAAAAAACAGGAAAAAGAGAGAGAGAAAATGGTAATCTCTCTGTGGATTTGGGAAGACTTCTTGGACAAAGTCTTTGTCAGAGTCTACCCGAAAGTTGATATGGTGGATAAAAAAATCCAGGGGACATTTCAGCAAAGAATACAACACATGTTGCAGCTGTACTGGGATCTGGCTGCTGGATAATGCTTACTCTCTTTTGGATTTCTCGGCTGAGTAGCAGGACAGGTGGATCTACTGGACAGACTGGCAGACCAAGTCCATCCAGCGCGTTGACAAGTACTCCGGCCGCAGCAAGGAGACAGTGCTGGCCAATGTGGAAGGACTCATGGATATCATCGTAGTTTCCCCTCAGCGCCAGACGGGTGAGCTGCTGGGGACAGGGCCTGCTTCCCCAAGGACCTTAGTGACCAAGACAGGGCCACAGGAGAGCCATTTTGTTTACATGAAGCTCTTAAACCTGTTCACCTCTTTGGGATTATACCTGCCTGCTCCATGGCCCTTGGGAGTGCAGAAAGCCTTAGCCTTCTTCTTTTCTGAGATGTATTAAACTGGAAGACCAGACTCTGTCTCAGACATTCATCCACTTTGCCTCCAGGAACCAATGCCTGTGGGATGAACAATGGTGGCTGCACCCACCTTTGCTTTGCCAGAACCTCAGACTTCGTGTGTGCCTGTCCCGATGAGCCTGATGGCCGGCCCTGCTCCCTTGGTAAGCTGGGCTCACAGACTCCTGGGACATTGAAGCCCTGGGAAGGTTGGGTAGATGGGGATCAGGAGCCTCAACTTTGCCCGTACGGGCAGAGGCCCTTTCAGAGATCTGGAAGTGGACCAATAGGGAGGAATGTTTGGGCACTTCGGGATTGCTTACTTTTCTTTTTTCTGACTTCTGGCATTTACTAGAACAAAACTCAGGTCTCCTGATGCCCAGAGACCTGCCCAATGGCCCACACATTGATGCCTTTGTGACCTCTGTGTGCCAGCTAGCCAGTGCAGAGAGGTTCTTGTTAAATCCAGATCCTTTTCATGTACTATTCCAACAAGGGCCTCCATTGAGGGCACCTGGAATTAGGGCAGCCAAACTACTTCGTCGAGTTCTCTGAATGCTGCTCCTCAATCCTGTGTGGAGATTTGGGCCTGCACTAACCTATTGCAATCATCTTTTCTCTCCAGTTCCCAACCTGGTGCCTCCAGCCCCTCGAGCCAGTGAAAAGAGCCCAGTGCTACCCAACACAATGCCTCCCACCTTGCGTGCCACCACTTCCCGGACCCACACATCTCTGGAGGAGGCTGAGGGAAGGTGAGTAGCATCAGCACAGGGCCAGGTGACCCTTGGTTCACATCACCATCTCCCACCACTAGAAGACCACGGTCTTAGATTGATCATCCTGGCAGATGGTGGGGACAGCCCATCATTAGCCACCAGTACCTGCTGTGTAGGACAGGAGGTGACGTGTAAACTTGTAGCCTATTGTAAATGATTCTGGTTTTAGCTCTGAGGACAAGAAGCTTGTTGAACTCTCTATGACATTTGCCCTTGTGTCAGAGTGTTAGCATATGGTGTTGTACAACAGGGGTCACTTGGTTGTAGTTTTATAACTTAGAATAGAAAGGTGGCATTGTGGTGGGGGTGTGAGTTGAATATGATAGCTTTAGCTTATGATGACCCAAACTCATACCCGTGCATACATTTTACCATTATTAAGTAAGTGAGCATAACCACAAAAAAAATTCTCAAGTATCATACTTCATTAAATTAAATGTACTATTAATTATAAAATGCATCTTTTTTTGAGAGATTACACTGAAAACAAGACCAATAGTAATTCTGAAATACTGGTGATTGTTAAGTCACTTTTCTGTTTCAGAGATACTAGAATATAGGAAAAATACATATCACATATTTTAATGGATTAAATATAATTTGGAGATATTCTTATGACTTTGCTTTTCATTTTTAGTTAAAAAAAAAAAGCTATTGAACTGAAGGTGATGACATTGTGGCACAGTAGCTAAGTTACTGCTGTGATGCTAGCACCCTATGTTAGAGCACCAGTTCAAATCCCTGCTGTTCCACTTCCGAACTAACTTCCTACTAATGCACCTGGGAGAACAGTAGAAGAGCAGTAGTACTTGGGCCCCTGCCACCTTTGTAGGAGACACAGATGGAGCCCCAGGCTCCTCCTGGCTTTGACCTTTTGATTTGGCTTAGAACTGGTTGTTGAATATCCATCTGGGGAGTGATCCAGTGGAGGGACTCAATCTCTCCATTTTCTTTCTGCCTTTTTAAGTAAATAAATAGATATTTAAAAAATAAATAAACTGGAGGGACCAGGGCTGAGACATAGTAGTTAAAGCCACACCCACAGCAGCAGTATCCCATATGGGAGCCATTTCAAGTCCTGGCTGTTCCACTTCCAATCCGTCTCCCAGCTAATGTGCCTGTAAAAGCAGAAGAGGATGGCTTATGTGTTTGGACAGCTGTACTCAAATGGGAGACCTAGAAAATTCTCAGGGCTCCTGGTTTCAACCTAGTGCAAACCTGGTCACTGCAGCCATTTGGGGATTGAACCAGCAGAGGGAATCTCTATAATTCTTCCTTCCAAACACATTAAATCTTTATAAAGTCATTCTTTAAAATGTCTGCTCCCAGTGTGATTTTAAAACTAAGCAAAGTGCAGCTAACATTGTGATACAGGTTAATCTGCTGCCAACAGCACCAGCATGGGTCAAGTCCCAGCTGCTCTACTTCCAGTACAGCTTCCTGGTAGTATCCCCGGGAAAAGCAGCAAAGGATGGCCCAAGTGCTTGGATCCCTGCCAACCATTATGGAGAAGTTCCAGGCTCCTGCCTTCAGCTTGGCCCAGCTCTAGCCTTTTGGCCACTGAGAAATGAACACATGGATGGAAGGTCTTGGTTTCTGTCTCATCTTTGTTTCTCTCTTTTTTCTTTAACTCTGCCTTTTAAATAAATAAATCTTTACAAAAACACTGGGAATAGGAATGAATTTATGATCACTCATGTACTTATCTATAATTGTTGTTTATTTTATAAATTTTAAAAAATATTTATTTTTATTGGAAAGGCAGATTCACAGAGAGGGGAGAGAAAGAGAGAAAGAGATCTTCCATCTGCTGGTTCATTCTCCAAATGATCACAGTGAGCTGATCTGAATCTGGGAGCCAGGAGCTTCTTCCAAGTCTCCCATGTGGGTGCCCAAGGGCTTGAGTCATCCTCTACTGCTTTCCAGGCCATAAACAGGGAGTTGGATTGGAAGTAGAGCAGCCAGGACATGAACTGGTGCCCACATGGGATGCTGGCACTAGCATATGGAGGATAAGCCTATTGAGCCATAGCACTGGTCCCTAATTATTGCTTATTTTCAAATCTACCTTTCCAAAGATTTTTATAATTTTTTTACCACAGTTATCTATTTTTTAATATCAGATGTGGTTCAATTCTGAGAGCAGAAGCAGTAATCCTAAGAGCGAGCTCTGACTTCCATGCCCCTAGAGTTACAGTAGTTGCACATTGATGACATTCATGGGAGGTCGGTGCATTGGCTCAGCTGGCCAATACTCTACCTCCAAATGTCAGCATCCCATGGGCACTGGTTCATATCCCAGCTGCTCCCATCCAGCTCCCTGCTTATGGCCTGGGAAAGCAGTAGAGGATGGCCCAGGTCCTTTGGATATTGCACCAACATGAGAGACCTAGAAGAATTTCCTGGCTCCTGGCTTCAGTTTGGCTCAATTACAGCCACTGGAAAGGGAACCAGCAGATGGAAGATCTTTCTGTCTTTCATTCTCTTTATAAATCTGCCTTTGCAATAAAAACATTTTTTTAAAAGAAAAGAGAAATTCATGGACATGTATCCCATTCTCTTTCTAGAGGAGTTTGAAGGGGAAGCAAAGACCCAAGTATACACCTGAACCATTTTCACTAATTTTGAAGAACTGCCAATCGCTAATAATCTGATTTTAGGCTTACTTAGACAGCTTTTAGCTTGTCTTTGGCGCTTGTTTTTTACCTGTCAAAGCTGTGTTAGACAAGGCAAGGCATCTTGGTTTCCAATGCTTATGAGTAACTTTCCTCCAGCTTTTTTACGAGATTGCTTATTCATTAAGTGCCACAAAGGAGTTCCCTTCTGAGCATTTCGAGTGAGTCATCTGAGAAATCCCGCTGGAATCCTTGCATATTCCCTTGTGAAAGAATAAAGGCAAGAAAAACTTTTTCTCACGTTGGGACCTTGGAATAGTCTTTAGCCAATCAGATGTATTCTGCTTCCAACTCCTCCTGATATTTTATTTTATTTTATTTTATTTTAATATATTTTTTTTCTTTTTATTGGAAAGTCAGATATAAAGATAGGAAGAGAGACAGAGAGGAAGATCTTCCGTCTGTTGATTTACTCCCCAAGCGGCCGCAATGGCCAGAGCTGAGTTGATCCAAAGCTGGGAGCCTCCTCCAGGTCTCCACATGGGTGCAGGGTCCCAAGGCTTTGGGCTATCCTCAACTGGGAAGTGGGTCCTGCCGGGATTAGAACCGGTACCCATATGGGATCCTGGTGCATGCAAGGCAAGGACTTTAGCCACTAGGCCACCACACTGGGTCCAATATTTTATTTTACTTTATTATGATACAGTTCTATAGGCTCAGGATTTCCCCTATTGTTACAGTAGTATAGTCCTTCAGCAGCAGTCACAAGTCCATCGTTCTGCTCTGTAAGTATATCCTGAAATTGTAGGTATGGTCATACCCATTCTGAAATTTCAAGAAAGCCCATTATAGATGTCCTTAATATTCCTTCCACAGACTCCCAGCTCCTAACCAAACCTGCTTCTTATTTTTGTTAAGAGACCTTGTTATTTTGTTAAATGTTTTACTCGTAAGTCAGAGCAACAGGGAGAACAGAACAAGAGAAAAAGAGAAAGAGAAAGATCTCTCTGTTGGTCCACACAGTAAGTGCCCACAGGCAGCTACAGACTGGGCCAGGATCCCAGAACTCCATCCAGGTCTGCCATGCAGGCGGCAGGGACCTAAGCACTTGGGCCACCTTTTGCCTCCCAGGATGCACTAGCAGGAAGCCAGGTGAGAAGCAAAACAGCTGTATCACCCCAGCTCTCTGATAGGCGATGCAGACATCCCAAGCTGTAGCTGAGCCCATTGCACTTTGTAAAAGTTCTTGTTCAGTTAGACATGGGACAGAGGCCTGCAAACAGGGACCCACACTGATTTCTGTATCTCCAGTGCTACCCTCTGCGTGCTTCTGACAGCCGCCATCTGGTAGGTTCTTGTATCAATCAGAAGCCTCACTGAAAGACGTCTCTGTCCTTCCCTGACCTCCCCACCTCTCCAGAGGGAGGGCCAGAGCCTCACACAAGACAAGTGGCCTTGACTCTTGGTTTTCTGTGCTCCACAGATGCTCAGAAAGGGATGCCCAGCGGGGTCTCTGTGCACATTCCAATGAGGCTGTACCTGCTGTTCCAGGTAAGCCTCAAGTGCCCAACTGCTTTATGAAAAAAAAAAGAGCAAGCAACAATGTAAGCACTCTGGGTGTCCACTTGTGTCCTTCATGACCTTTGTGGGAACGCTTTGGCATCTTTTCTTACATTAAGTGCATAGACATGATTATAATGGCTGCCACCACATGTAGTGTGCTTGCCATACGCCCAGTATTCGATAAACCATGGAAGATGCCGTATGTGTGCGTATGCATACAACAATCCCCCCCTTATCCACTGGGGCTGTACTACAAGATTCCCCTCTCCCCCTCCTGGATACCTGAAATAATGGATAGTACCTAACCCTGTATTTAGTGTTTTCTTGCTATGCATACATAACTATGATTGTTTAATCTATTAATTAGGCATGGCAAATATTAACAGTAATTACTAATGATAAAACAGCAGTTATGGTAATAGAGGATAACAAAGTTCTGCAGGAGTGCTGTTGTTTCCGTAGTGTAGTGGTCATCACGCTCGCCTAACAAAGTTCTGCAGGGGTTTCCCTCTGAAAATATGTTTATTCCTCATTGCTCTATAGTAATATTTTCAGGCCACGTTTTGGCCTTGGGTAACTGAACCTGCATGTAATAGGTTACCACATATGTCTATGTGCACACACACTCTCATTCACTGTCTGCCAGCCTCATGAGCAATTTACTCCTTACATGTAACTGATAAGAAAATGGAGGCTTGGAAGTGAAGTCTCGCTTTAAGTTGCTTGGTGGGTAAGTGGTGAAAGGAAGGCTGGAGATCTGGAAGAGTGATGGCGTTTCCTCTCAGCCTCCTTGCCCCACTTCCTATGGCCTCTCCTCTCTACAGGACCTCCCTGGCTGGCCTCAGTGGTGTGAGACCCACCCAGTACCAAAGGAGGCCTGGAGTGGTGCCTGCCTAACCTCTCTCTGTTTTCCCTAGGAGAAGGGCTTCATGTCAGCTATGCCATCGGGGGACTGCTCAGTGTTCTGCTGATTTTGGTGGTGATTGCAGCGTTGATGCTGTACAGGTAATGACAGCCTTGTGCTGTGGAGGCCACATGCTCGTTGGTCCTCATCAGTATGCCTGGGACCTGCAGGAGCTCCGCAGCTCACGACACCAGCCTGTGAGCAGCCTTGTTTGAGGGCTGTGTCCCTGGTTGGAGCAGCAAAAGAATGCAAACTCGAATGCTTCTCTTCCCTAGTCACAGCCTCTGTGGTTTCCTCATTCAAGGACCACAGCAACCCTTGGGATTTTCTCTATAGACTAGGAGGCTGAGGACACAGAGGATGTCACCCAAGGGCACACAGGAAGAAGCACAGTTGGGACAAACTCTAGCATCTCTGCTTTCTCTCCTGCCCCACACTACCACCAGCCACTGACTCTGGAGATGATTTCCCCTTCACCAAATGCAGCCCATTACTACAAACTTGATTTATGTGTTGGTGCTTGGAATCAGTCAGCCTAGCAAGATACAGTTGTTCTTTTCAACTTAACATCTTCTTAGTCCTCTCTTGACATTTTCCCCTAAATGCTCCAAACACAGCTCATAGCAAAAATGTTGATTAACAATGCCGCTCATCATTAATAAAATCATCATCATAATAGTAACAAGTACGACAGAATGGATATCAGTGTCATGACAAGGTTATCATGTGGACATTGTTGTTCTGCCCCTGACAGATGAGGTGCTGAGACTCAGAAAGTTCAGATTCTGTCTACAAAGGTCTGAAGCAACAGAGGGAGGTATTATAACAGAACTAACTTGAACCTTAAAGCATAGTGTGTCTGTTGTCATCACAAATTACCTTGACTTAAATGACACCTACTCTTATTACTCAGTTTCTGTGAGTCCGAAACATAGATGCAGCTCAGCTGAATCCTTATGCCTCAAGTTCTCTCACAATTTCAAAGCTTGACTTGGGGAGGGATTCCTAGCACATTCACTAGTGTTGGCAGGATTTGTGGTACAGAAATGCCCCCCATCTACCATCAGTTCCTTGTCTTGTGGGCTATTCCATTGGGTGGGTTACACCAAGGCAGCTTGCCTTTGGCACAGAGGTTAAGACACTCTTTGGGACATCCACAAACCATATCGGAGTACTCAGCTCAAGTCCCAGCCCTGCTTCCACTCCAGCTTCCTGCTCATGCGTGTCCTGAAGGCCGCAGGTGATGGCTCAAGTACTTGGGTCCATGGTCCCAACATGGAGACATAGGTTGGGAATGGGCTCCCAGCTTCAGCCTGATCTCACCCTGATTGTATTGGACATTTGGAGAGCGAAGCAGAGGATGAAAAACCTGTCTCTCAGTCTGTCTCTTTTTCTCTCTCTCTGCCTTTTGAATAAAATGAAAAAAAAAAAAGAAAACCATAATAAGCATTTGAATAAAGAGGAAATGAGGCACCCCAAGACAGAAGCCAGCTTCTGTGTAAATTCTGTGTAAGCTTCTGTGCCACCCTCTCTATGCACTCTTTCATTAGAAGCAAGTCACCAGGTACAGCCCGCACTTAAGGGGAGAGGATTCAGAAGGGGGGAAAAGGAGGAGCCAAGGATAATGGGGACCAATGTTATAACCCCCCAAGGAGTTATCCCTTTAAAGACTGAAACTCATTCTCATCACTTTCCTTCTCAAGACACAAAAAATCCAAGTTCACTGATCCCGCGATGGGGAACCTGACCTACAGCAACCCCTCCTACCGAACTTCTACTCAGGAAGTGAAAATTGAAGCAATCCCAAAGCCGGCCATGTACAATCAACTGTGCTATAAGAAAGAGGTAAACTTTGAACTGCATGTTCAAGGGTTTAGTGAGGGGTGGGCAGAGGGGAAGGATCATGCTTAAGTTGCCTAAGGAGTGGTCTCATTCACCACCTTGTTAGTTACAGGGAACACATGAACTGATTGTGGAGAAATAGAGTGTATTTGAGGGGCTCCAGGGAGGGGGAGGTTAGAAAGCAAATGAGTGTGCATCTCCTTGCCAAAAGATGTTTTTCTAGGTTCCTGGGTTCTTTCCCTTCTGGAGTTGAAAACCTTAGGGGTCCTGGGCACTCCTTTTTCTAACCTCTGAGCCAAACTGGTAGCAGCCATGTCTAGGAATGGGTTGCTTTTTGCTGTCCCTCCTCTTAGCGCAGACCTAAACGATTTCTCAAAAATTATGAAAGTTTATATACTCTTTAAAAAACAAGAAAACAAACTCTTTTGTCACTTCAGTAGAAAATTATTTGCTGAATATTTAGGCATGACGTATAGTCCCATTTCCTACGAGGGACCTGTACCCTTGGGTTTCAGATTTTCTTGTGTGATGAAAAGCTTGGAATTATTTTAAAACCTTGAAAATTTTGGAAATTATTCCTTCTGAAGACCCTGGAGTTGGCCTACTTCTTTGGCTTGTCTAGCGTGATCAGAACCTGGCTTCATACCTGCAGAGTTCTCCTGCATAATGAGTACACTTTATATAATAAGTATGTCCTTTCTGGATCTGTGAATTGCCTTGTTAAAAAAAATTACCAAATTAAAAAGCTTCCACTACAGTCACAGAACCTGCTGGGATTGCTGAAATTTCTAGGAATGGTAGCCCCTCCCCACCCCCCGCCTCAATTGATATCTTCCAGAGGAAGGACCTGAGGATTCTGGGATTCCCCAAGTGTCTGCAACCCCAGACAAGAACTCCAGTGAGGGCCATAGATGAGAAATGAAAATTGTGTGACCTCTTTCCCCTGTTGTCTGCTTCTTCCTCAGCAGCTCCTTCACCCCTCTGATAGCCTCTCACCCTTTCTCTTCTGATTTCCTCTTGATTTCAGGTACCTGTTACTATGTGTTTGTAGAAGAAGTGGTGTCCCCCAAATTGCTAGTGTTAAATCTACCCCCAACCCCACCGCCTCCCCCTGACTTACCTGTGTGTCTCTGATGCATGGCCTGCATCTTATTTGATGCTAATCTCCACCTGGAGGATGCACTGGGTGTGGATGGGTGTCTGTGTGTGCTTGTGTGCTGTGTGTTTCTGCACGATCATGCAAAATGTCCCTTTCCAAGGACAGGGACCACATTGTATATTGTGTCATCAGCAAAGTACACTGTGCTGCTTCATGCTGAGGCTCAACCAGAAGCTATGAATAGGAATTGTTAGTAACATGGAGCATCTCTCAGCAATAATATTGCAGGCCTCTCGGCAGGAATGCAATCCCAGGGACAGAGCCCAAGCCAGGACCCGTTCTTCTCTGAAAGTGGTGACATATTGGTTGAAATCCTCCCCTCTTAAAGTAGGAGGGAGGCCGCTCTTTGAGGGATCCATAAAGGGGAGGCCTAAGCAGGGCTCCAGGCTGTGCTCAGAACGGTCCCACATTGTTCAGTCGTGGGAGCGGGGTTGAAAGAACCGCCCTGGAAAGGTCACTGATTTTAGATACCCACTAGATTGACATTTAGAACCCAACTGGGAGGCTTTTTCTACAGCCCTTCTGTGATAGCTGCTGAATTTTCTCCTTAACAAAATTGGAAAAAGTTAGGAACAAACTAGCACAGAGTGGTTTAATATCCCAAACAAATGCACATTTAATTGCTTTTGCGACTTGCTTCTGATTAATTTTGTCGACATGGAATCCCACTAGTGAATTCCAATAACAGCGTAACAGCAGCTAACAAATTTTAGTGGATCTTAAGCCAGGTACCCTAACAATTGCATTCATTATCACCGTGTTAAACCCTTACAGTAGTTGATTGGGAGGTGTGGAAACTGTGATTCTCTCCACCATGCAGATGGGGAGACAGTTTTAAAGACATTAAATTTACCCAAGTTGACATAGCCGGTGTGTGGCTGATGCAGGACCGAAAGCCATGGCTCTCACTCCCTGTATAGCCATAGGCAGTAACCAGCCAAGCTGCTTCACTCCTTTTAAGACTAGACTTCATATTTGAGATTTTTTCTGGCCAAATTTCCCCCATTTATCTGAGGGATCTTTGAACTATTCACTCTCTAACCTCACCTGCTTCCTTCTGTTTAGTTCACATGAGATTCTTTGCAGAAAGCCAACTGACTGACCATGTCTCCCCACTCTCCACTCTAGGGAGGGCCCGACCATAGCTACACCAAGGAGAAGATCAAGATCGTAGAGGGCATCTGTCTCCTGGCTGGGGACGATGCTGAGTGGGATGACCTCAAGCAGCTGCGCAGCTCCCGGGGGGGCCTGCTCCGGGACCACGTGTGCATGAAGACAGACACAGTGTCCATCCAGGCCAGCTCCGGCTCTCTGGATGACACGGAGACGGAGCAATTGTTGCAGGGAGAGCAGTCGGAGTGCAGCAGTGTCCATACTGCAGCCACTCCGGAAAGACGGGGCTCTCTGCCGGACACGGGCTGGAAACATGAACGCAAGCTCTCGTCCGAGAGCCAGGTCTAAGTGCCCATGCGCTCCCCCTGCCTGCCTGTCCCTTCTCCTGTATGAACTTGCAGTCCTTGTGTTCACTTGTACAGCAGGCTCCCCTTCCCGTATGTGCCTCCTCTTCCCACCCCGGAAATGCTCTCAACTTTTCCCCAGGGAGCTGTTCACCACCTGAGTCCATCACCATCTGGGCACAAGAAAAGATGGTGCATCTTGAGATGTAGACCTGGATTTTGCCATGAGCCTCACCTCTTTGCACTCTGCTCTTGGCTCCCTGAAACTGGGCTCAGGAACGATTCCTCGTCAGTGTTGACTCCTATCTCCCCTCTTGCCCTGGTGCCCCTTGCCTGGCCGCAGCCCTGGTGCAGCTGATGATGTAAGACTGCACCCTCCCCCCATTGAAGCTGGCATGTCAGCTTCTCCCCGAGAACATGCCCACAGGGAGCTGAGATGGGGTTAAGGGTAAAGACGGGGATGAAGGATAGAGGCTGAAAGTAAAAGGAAGAGCCAGCCCAACTGGTTTGGACACCTGGGAAACCAGCAGTCTTAAGTGTGTTGGTGATAGGAGAAAGCTTTTGAGGGTAGTTGGACCTGGGTGTCCTGTCCATGGCTGGCATGGATACTATTCTTGCCCTAACAGTCTGCTACTTCATCAACTGTTGAGTTGTGAGTGTGAGATGTAGGATCTTCCTTAGAAGGCTGGCGGTCCCCCAATACGCAGCCATTGGCCAATAGGAAGTTCCTCCTGGTGCCACCTCTGGCCAGGATCCTCCAAGTCATCAGGTTGTGATCCAGTGGCTTGGGCCCATGTTGGGCACTGGGGTCCAAGTTTCTGCTGTCTAACCAGTTCTGCCTTGGTCATACTGCATCCCACTTGAACTTCAATCTCCTGCTAATCTCATTGCCATTCGCTTGGGTTCTGAGAACAGACCCTGAGACAATCTTCCAGAAAAAAGACAGAGGTGTTCCTCAGTGATCAGGAAGAGCGATTGGCTTCAAGACCTGGAGCATCCCGGTCTAAGGAGAAATAGTCATGAAGTTAAACCTCCTCTCCTTGTTCGGTGCCCAGGGGTGTAAGATAGTGGTCAGAGAGCTCCTGGCTCTGGGGTCAAGTTCCCATTCCAGCTGTCTTCTTGGCTAAGAGACTGACCTCCCATGCTAAGAAGCCATCACCTGGCTCGTGTTCATCCACACCAAGGCCATGAAACAGGGGAGCTGAGATGGTTTTTTTCTCCCCTAAAACTTCTCCCTAGCCTTTTTTTTTTTTCTCAATGGAAGGTGAGAGATAGGGGGCTAATTATCTTTTTTCTGACCTAGCCTTGTGGTACCAGCAATATCCAAAGTCTCTTGATGTGAAGGGCTAAAATGAAGATGCAAATGGGTAGGTAAGGAGTTTTTCAAAGGTTAACGAGAAGCACCTTTTCCAACAGGGTGGACCCAGACCTCTGCTCTCCAGAAACTAGTTCTAATGAGTAGGGGAGGGAGACAGGGGCTGGGAACGAAACAGAACGCTCCTAGGGCAAGTTTTCCTAAGCTGAAGCATCTCTGGTGGTTACTGGTGTTGAGAAATCAAATGCCAATCCTGTGAGTGAAAAGGGACAGGAGTCCATGATTGGTAGTCAATTATAAGATGGCTAAAAAGAGATGCCAAGCCATTAGCCCTGCTAAATAGCAAGTGCCAGCTTGGGGCTTATAGCTAGAGCTGACAGCTTAGGCCAAGAAGACTTCTCCAACGTACAAAGTGGGGAACATAAGGTGGCCACTTCTGAGAGGAAAGGGAGGCATTTCACACTTACTGAGGCAAAGAAGGGGCAGTTTGAGTCCTCTGAGTCACCGCTGGGAAGGAGGAGAAGGTAGGAAAGTGAAATTTTCTTGTTGAGAGACCAGGGGAAGGCTCTTATTGCACCTGGGCTGTTGAGAATGTAGAAAGGACATAATTGAGGAGATATCTATTTGAGCACTGATTTACTCTGTAAAAAGCAAAATCTCTCTGTCCTAAACTAATGGAAGTGATTCCTCTGTGCTCATGTGTAATGGTTTTAACGTTACTCACTGTGGAGAGATTGGACTTTCTGGAGTTATTTAACCACTATGTTCAGTATTTTAGGACTTTATGATAATTTAATATAAATTTAGCTTTTCTTAATCACCTTGCCTGGCTTGGAGTCATCACTCATCCTGCACCTGCTGTCTGGGCAGACCCATGTTGTGTGAAACCTGCTTGCAGCCACCAGCTCTGAATCCTTGGGGATGTGGGAAGATGGCGGAGCCATAAATCATGTGAGGTTCCTGCTGGCGTTGCAGCTCATCTCAAGAGGAACAACTCAAGACCGGAGTCCCTTGCCTTGCAGGAGGCTTGATGTTTGTCATCTGCAGTCCTGACTCTGCTTGGCGGTGTCTGCTTGAGGTCCTGTCAACACGGGATGGGGAAAGGGTCATCTTGTCCAGACCCCAGAAGGAAATGTGGTGGCACTTACTGTATCATCTTCTGCATCATGTTCTGCACTGCTGAGGACTTCGGTGGCATAAAAATTGACTAGGCCTTGCAGAGATGATCACTGGCAAAAGTGTCCGATACAGAAAGAAAGTGCTGAGTTGGCAACATGGAGGGAGAATGCCATTCATCTGTCAGTAGCACTATTTGCCCTTTGTCAACTTTTGTAGTTATTCTGAGAATGGATCACGTAATCATTGTCTTCTCATAGCTCATCCACGACATCTCTAGACAGGAGTTCAGGGACCCCTTCTTGGGATTATGGATGCGATATCCCTCAGTGACAACTGAGAATGAAGCCAGCTTCACTACCGGGTACATAACCTGATGTCAAGTCTCAATAGTTGATTTTCTAAATCATCACCACTAACAGAGCAATACTCCTATTTATCCATCTCTGACTATGGGCCAGGCACTGCCCCTGCCTAAATAGGAAAGACAGAGTCTTAACAGACCGAGTGTCTAAGTGTCTAACTACATCACTTCACTACCATCCCTCTACCAAAAACAAAACCAAACCTGATGCCTCTTGATTTGAGTGATTAAAATATGTGACTATAAACCTCAATGTATAATTTTCCCACACTTAGTAAAAGGGTGGGTGTACTAGGACAAAAGCAATTGGAACAGTTCAAGGAAAACCATCCCTTTGCCTCTGCTATTCACTTTTGGGGAAACACCTCCCACTTGACTAAAAAAGCAGCATCTTGGATATGAAAAAGGGTTAATAAATTCCTGTCTGGTTTTCTGGATATAAAACCTGACTCTGATAAGTATAGGCACAAGGTGGGTCGATGTGTAACAAACTTTACATATTTTCAAGCTAATGGCACTCAGAACAGCCACTGTCCCTTCTGTTAGAACGTACAAAGAAACTGAAGCCTAAGACGACCAAATCTTTGGCATCCCCCCAAGACATGAAGCTTTCACCAAAACTAGGTCTGAAGAACACATATGAAGTGATACATAGAAACTTAGAGAAAACATCTATAAGAGTTGAAAATGCTCTGGGCTGTCCTCTACTGGCTTCCCAGCCACAAGCACGGAGTTGGAAGGGAATTGGAGAAGTTGAGACATGACCTGGTGCCCATATGGGATCCTGGCGCATGCAAGGCGAGGACTTTAGCCACTAGGCTATTGTGCCGGATCCTAGGGATGTATTAGGCAATGTTCGTTTTGAAATATTCTCCCATTTACCTACTTATTCTTTTTCTCCAAATCATTTTCACATTAACCTGGTGACAGAAGCTAGCAGAGCTTAGGATAGGGAACAGATATTTCCAGTCAAGTCTCCAGCTCACAAATATGGACTGCTTGGCATGGCATTAAGGCAGATCAAGGGGTAGGTGTTGCTGTGTTGTAGGTTTTACCTTTGCCTGGGGCACCTGCATCCTGTGTTAGAGTCCTGGTTCAAAATCCCAGGCACTCTGGTTCTGATCCAGATTCCTGCTGATGTATCCTGGGAAGCAGTGGCTATAGGCACAAGTTTTGGAGCTCCTTCACGTGTTATGGAAGGTTTAGATGGAGCTCCGGTATTCTGGCTTCCAGTCTGTCCCAGCTATGGCTGGTGTGGGTATTTTGGAGAGTGAACCAGCAGACAGAAGATCTGTTACTCTGCCTTTCAAGCACTTGAAAAAAAAAACTATTTAAAAAAGAGAGTTGCTCTAGTTAAAAACAAAATAAAATAGGTCCCGCTGGCCTAATTAAGAGTCTGAATTTAAACCCTAGGGCTAAGTTAGCCCCAAGCTAACACAGTCTGTAGATGTCATTTTACAAGAAATAGTCCTGCAAACTCTCACCCGTCCCTTCCCTGTGGTTTTCCCTCCAGCTCTTAAAAGGCTAATGAGAGCTCTGTATCTCCCTTCCTCCTCCTTCCCTTGTGGTGAAGCGGATGCTTCCGTGGTCCAAGGTCTTTGGCAGCCTGCATTTGGGGAACCATGAAAAGTGGGAAAATGGGCAATGAGAAAACAGAAAGGTTATTCATTCATTCATTCAACCAGAATTTATTAAATGCAACCAAGAGCAAGCAATCTTGGGAGCCAAATAAGGCATTAAAACCTATGCTTAAGATTTGTACTAGTGCATCACTGCTATCTCCAGGAAGTAATGCAGGGGCACCTGGACTGAAAAGTTGTGAGGAGTTAATCTAAAGCTATTCTTATTAGGCTGGACATCTGGATCCACGTCCCTTGGTTGGAACGCTTCGAGCAGAGTGCAGCTTATGGTTACAGTGGAAGAAGTACTGACCCACCCTACCACACTAACAGGCCTTTTTAGAAAAGCCCAGCTCACCTATTCAGCAGCCACAATGTATGGCATTTGTTCCCTGTATCCAGTTGCAACAGTATCGTTTGCTTTAATATCCAATGCCCACAGGGTTGTGCCAGAGTCCAGCTCCAGCTGAGTTCGGAACTCGCAAAGGGTGCGTGGATGAGGCGCAAAGAGGAAAGAAAAAGACGGACCACTAGGACTTTGTGATCATAATGGACTACGCACAAAAGCTGTCCGCTTTATTTATACAAAATCAGTCAAATTCTGGCTCAGACTTTTTACGTCATGACCAAGTGGGTGTTTCTAAGGATAATTCTGCCATTAGTTTTACCTAGAAACAATAGAAGTTCCTGCTAACATTACCTAGAATTTCCTGCTACGATTCTTATCCTACAACTCAATCTTGTACCACAAAGAAAAGGGGAGTCTAAAGAATGAGGAAAGAATGAAAGCCTAAATCTAGATCCCTTGATTAGCATAGGTTCAATGTGGACAGCCAAGACAGTAGGAATGATAAAGGGCCCCATTTGCAAGACATTGACCTCCAAGCTCAGGCTGAGCAAAAGGTTAACCTCGCAGTAGCAAATGCCAGGATGGATTAGAATTCTTCCGCAGGGTGATCCAGTGTCCATGCAAAAGAAGGTGGAATTGCATTCAGGTGGTTGTAGAGACATCCACCGGGTGGGCCCTGCCGAACAGCGGGAAATTCCTTGCGGCCCTGCCTGCAATGGAACACTCTTTACCCCCTCAAGTCCCCCACATCTACTGCACGGATCCCAGCAGGGTCGCACTGCTGTGTGAATGCATTTGTTCTCTTCATGGAGTTCACATTACAGTAAGGAAACAGAAAATCAACACATAAATAAATTATATACTAGGCTGTTGAATAATGGACATAATAGGAAAAGAGAAAAAGAATAAAGCAGGGTCAAAAATAGGGTTGTAGGGTGGAAAAGAGAAGTAGGGTTGAAAACAACTAATCATTAACAGAGTGCCCAGAGCAGGTTTCAGCAAGATTGGGTTTGAAGAACTTTTGAGAAGCCCCTGCTGTAAGAAAAACACACAGAATGCCAACAAGTACACAGATACATGCTGAGGATGCTGCTCAATTGCAGAAGATGGACATTTGTTGAACATCCACTGTGGACAAGGGACAGGTTTCTAACAGGTCCTTTAGGATCTGCCTTCCTGCCCTATCCTCCATCAGACCTCATCCTTTCTCCTGTACTGCCTACCACTCCCCTCCAGGGACACTGCTCTCCCTATTCTTCAAACCTGTCAGACACGTTCCCAACATTAGGCCTTTGTGTAGCTCTTCCCTCAGGCTGGCCCCTTCTTCCCCTACACATACTCAAAGCTAACTCATTTGCTTTTCTCAAGTCTTGGCTCAAATGTAATCTCACTGAAACCTGTTCTGACCACTCTTTTTTTTTTTTTAAGATTTATTTTATTATTTTTAATTAGAAAAGGTGGATATATAGAGAGGAGGAGAGATGGAGGGGAAGATCTTCCGCCTGATGGTGCACTCCCCAAGTGGCCGCAACAGCTGGAGCCTCCTCTGAGTCTCCCATGCGGGTGCAGGGTCCCAAAGTCTTGGGCTGTTCTTGACTGCTTTCCTAGGCCACTGGCAGGGAGCTGGATGCGAAGCGGAGCTGCTGAGATTAGAACCGGTGCCCATATGGGATCCTGGGCATTCAAGGCAAGGACCTTAACCGCTACACTATCGCGCTGGGCGCTTGACCACTCTTAAAAACTAGTTTTTCCAACCCCATTTCTCTTTTCCAACCAACAACCCTATTTTTTACCCTGCTTTATTCTTTTCTCTTTTCCTACTATACCCATTATTAAACAGCCTAATATATAATGTATTTTAACGTGTTAATTTTCTATATTTCCTTACTATAATGTGAATTCCATGAAGGGAGAGAATTTTGGAGGGGAGGGTATACTTTGTTCGCTGAATAGCACAAGTGCTTAGAACAGTTTCTTCATACACTAGATGCTTAATTCTTCCTGAATGGCTGAAAATTGATATTTAATGACTATCTAATAGAGTTCTATTTAAACCATTGAAGACAAAAAGGGGTTTTGCCATCTTATCTAAAACTATTCCAGGACCCACTCTGTACACATTCCTTCTATTTATTTGAGCAACAGAGAGCTCCCATCAGCTAGTTCATTTTCCAAATGCCAAAAACAGCTTGAGTTGGACCAAGCTGAATCTGTGGACCAAGAATTCAGTCTCCCACGAGAGGAATAGGACCCATGCCATCCCTGCTGCTCCAAAGATCTGAATTGGAAGAAAGACAGAGTCAGGAGCCAGATCTG